AAGTAATCAGCCTGAAGGGAAATAGCCCTCTAGATGTGATAGCTTCAACTCTATTAAAGGCAGAAATATTTTTATTGTACCAGAAGTACAAACAACTAAAGCAAAGTTAAAAAAGGAGTCGACTGACAAAATCATGGCAATAAACGAAAAACGACGAAAAGACAAACAGCAGTCTACAAACACTGTATAAAAACTAAAGACTAAGCATGCAACGCCATCTCCACAAAAACGATGCTGATCTCAGGTATTCCAGAAGGAGTTAGATTCCGCTTGTGACACCCGTAAACTATAATTCAATAAAGCTTTCATGATTATAGAATATCGAGGAATAAAACACATTCAATTAAAACTTCAAAACATGAAATGAAGAATGTTTGTATCTATCATGATAAGTGTCCGAATGCTATATAGATTGAGTGGTAAAAAACAGTCAACTATTAGACAGTTACCGACGTGATGAAGCAATTATCAACACTACTAATATGAATAAAATATACATCAACGAGACAACAACCAAACGGAAAGTCAAATATAGACATTTAGAGTGAATAGAACAGTGGAATGAATTTATCAAAGACTATCAAAGAACTGTCACCTTCATGAACAACAAAAACACGTTACCTTAAATGTATCTTAGCGATACTTTAATAAACCATTCCTAAAATATGTTGTATGTATATACACATCCTTCTCTTTGTATTTGTTTTTGTTCCGGTGTCAACATCTTTAACAATGTACTGGTGAAAATTTATGTGGTACGAAACAAAAAAGAAAGTTTGGTAAATCTAGATCTTTGTTTAAAATATATGTATTGTTATTCTCTCTCTCTCTGTCTGTAAGGAGGTTTAAAGATTTTTTAACATTTATAATCTATATATATTTGTTTTAGACCCGAATGTTTCCCGTTCTTTACCCCTCCTGGAGAATTCAAACATACATGTATGGAGTTTGTACGTTCAGAAGCAGCACCAACTACAGGCTGTGGTCCAGGTATACATTTACATTATAGAAGTTTTCAGTGTGTTTATGCTTATAATCAAGCATCAAATAGGGGCAAACAGAAATATACAAAGTCTTTTACAGTTTGCACAATACCAAATACTCAGTCGATCTACAAATATGGCAAATTAGTTTGTATGTATGACACGACCTGCACAGACAATTAACGTCCATTCATTTTCATTTTGCAAACTTTTTTTTTGGGGGGGGGGGGGGGGGGGGGGCACTGACTAAGCTAAAAATCAATCTTTTCTTTTGGTGTCTTTCATCTGTGATGGTACGTATAAGATAAAATAAGATATTTTTATTCCAATTAAAGGTCCCACTATGAGCAAAGTAATTTAAAACAATTATTTTTTATAATTAATCTTATATAGATATGAATATATTCAACTTAAGGTAATGATCTTAACCCACAGCCAGCTGACCAGAGCCATTAGCACATACGTAAATAATAGTCTTTTATTCAAAAGCAATACAGCTTATAGAATTTACATTTACAAATATAATAGCATCAGTGATTAAACACACATGTGTTTTACAATTACAAACAAGTTTGAATCATCGGCGGAGAATGACAACAAATAATATAAATAATGAAATATGAGCATTTATATTAAGAATAACGAATCTTATCAGTTCAATAAAGGTATTTACTTAGCTAGATTGTTAAGCTCTTTAATGTTATCAACAGACAATAGTTCTATAAATTTATAACAAGATGGTTTTTTCCAATAAAATGGTTTTATATTTTTTTTTTCTTATATCAAAATATTTTTCACTTTCTAAAATATAAGGTTATTCATCTTCAACCAGATGTTTAAAAATGCAGTGATAAAACAAATTATATAAAATTCTATTATAAAGTTTATGAAGAGGGGTGAAAGATACGAAAGGGACATTAAAACTCATAAGTCGAAAATAAACTAACAACGCCATGGCAAAAAACGAAAAGAGACCAAAAGACAAACAACTGAACAGTATACAAAACACAACATAGAAAGTTAAAGACTGAGCCACACAAACATGATGTAAATGACGTTTCACTTTCAAAGGATAATGTGGTAGTATCATCATTTTATTCCACTGTATGTAAAAATGACGGCAAAATCAACATTTTGATTTGTTGAGACTATAACAAGTGACATTGAACAAAACTTCATACTCCCCTCTGAGTATCAGTATCATATTCCTCTCTGAACATCCTCGACTACCTCGAGCGACGTTACTCGCAGTTAATGAACATAACGTTTTGAACATTTTTTGATAGCGAAAGTATAGTCATTATCGTGTTCAAAACTATTTCAGACTTAAGAACAAAACAGAAAAAAAAACTTGCCATAGAATAAATGATAAACTTTTGATCGGTAGTGGAATAAAACATTATTTTCCTTGTCTTAGTGTATAATAACGTTACGGCATTGGAATGATATCCATCATTATTTAGGCTGTTGTGATAGTTTTGTCACAACGTTTAGGTTTTAAAAAATGGTATTCTGAATACAAAACATTCGGAATATTTATAATATGTATATTGAAACAACCGTATGAAGTAAATAATCCAACACAAGCTCTGTTTAAACTTCAGCAAAGAAGATGTATTAATGTACAATGTATATATGTATATACAGGTCCTCGTTACCAGATGAACCAGAAAACGTCTTACTTAGATTTGTCACAGGTGTATGGTAGTAATATCAAGGCCATGAGAGAACTACGTACATTGCACGGCGGTGAGTCAGTTTTTTTTTAGTCATGATACACCAAATTTTGAGTTCCAGGATTTTGAATTACAATCACGTTTGGTCTGTACCGGCAGACGCTATCTGTTGTGACGTTAAAAAGTTGCGATAAAACATTTGATATTCGTCAGTGGCAATGATTTGGGCGTAAAACACCAATCAATCAACCAATCAATCAATACTTGTTGCATCTTTCATTAAAACATTATTTTTTTTTGTATCTAAGATAGCCAAATACTTAGTACTATTGCACATATTTTGGAATATAACTAATCTTTTTTTTAGTTTTACAAATCTGCATTTATCATGTAAAATGGAAAAGAAGTGATATATTGTATTATTTGCATCAAACCCAAACCCAATCACTCACTTGAAAAACATCATAGGAACAGCTGTTGTATTGCTGTTTTTTCCTAATGTGTTTGCTTTTTCAGTAACTTCTCATTTCCTTTCCTTGGTAGCCCGGTAGCTCATATATTATTTTGTTCACCGTATTTAATGAGTATATCTGCAGCCTTTGTGATTCTGAAGTTTGTTTTCCACACTTTCGATACATTGCTGTTATCTTATCAAGTAGGAAGAACACGTTTTATTTTCGTGTTAGATGTGGCATTCTTTTGCGATGGAAACGTGAATTGAAAAGGAAATAATTCCTCAACAGAAAGAGAAATGAACGCCTTTTTATTTTTTTCACAAGATGAAGATTTTTTTAAATTCATGAGTTGCACTTTATTTGGCCTTTTCAACTTTTTTGATTCGAGCATCACTGATGAGTCTTCTGTAGACGAAACGCGCATATGGCCGAATACAAAATTTGAATCCTGGTATCTATGATGAGTTTATTTGCAAAGTGTTTCTTTCCAGAATACTTTTTTTTAACCAAATTACACCAATTGGAATTAAAATTTATGTTCACAATTTTTGCTGCTATTTATCTGGGTAGCAGGTAGTTGAGAAATTATGAGCTCCTGGGTAGCAGGTAGTTGAGAAATGATGAGCTCCTGGGTACCTGGTAGTTGAGAAATGATGAGCTCCTGGGTACCAGGTAGTTGAGAAATGATAAGCTCCTGCGAGTCTTTTCACAAAAAATCTTACGATTAAAATTGATCGTAAGTTATACTGAAATGTGTACGACTTATGAGTATTTTTACTCTTAAGATTTTTTGTGAAAAGAGCTGCTGGGTAGCAGGTAGTTGAGAAATGATGAGCTCCTGGGTAGCAGGTAGTTGAGAAATGATGAGCTCCTGGGTAGCAGGTAGTTGAGAAATGATGAGCTCCTGGGTACCAGTTAGTTGAGAAATAATGAGCTCCTGGGTAGCAGGTAGTTGAGAAATGATGAGCTCCTGGGTAGCAGGTAGTTGAGAAATGATGAGCTCCTGGTAGCAGGTAGTTGAGAAATGATGAGCTCCTGAGTACAAGAGTTGAGAAATGATGAGCTTCTGGGTAGCAGGTAGTTGAGAAATGATGAGCTCCTGGGTAGCAGGTAGTTGAGAAATGATGAGCTCCTACTACAAGGTACTAGAGAAATGATGAGCTCCTGGGTAGCAGGTAGTTGAGAAATGATGAGCTCCTGGGTAGCAGGTAGTTGAGAAATGATGAGCTCCTGGGTACCAGTTAGTTGAGAAATAATGAGCTCCTGGGTAGCAGGTAGTTGAGAAATGATGAGCTCCTGGGTAGCAGGTAGTTGAGAAATGATGAGCGCCTGGGTAGCAGGTAGTTGAGAAATGATGAGCTCCTGAGTACAAGGTAGTTGAGAAATGATGAGCTCCTGGGTAGCAGGTAGTTGAGAAATGATGAGCTCCTGGGAAGCAGGTAGTTGAGAAATGATGAGCTCCTGGTACAAGGTACCAGAGAAATGATGAGCTCCTGGGTACCAGAGAAATGATGAGCTCCAGATCAAGATTGTAGTATCATGTTTACTTGCTGCATAACATGTTACAACATACCTGTAATTAATATGGTTAAAGCTGGTTTAGCTACTTATAAAACCAGGATTAATCCTTCATTTTCTACATAAGGAAATGTCTGTTTTAAGTCGGGAATATGACAGTTGTTTTCCATTCGTTTGATGTGTTTTAGTTTTTGATTTTGCAATTTGATAAGGGACTTTCAAGGGACATAAAGGCAATGAAATCTTTGCTGATTTTAAACGCAAAATAATTTGAACATATGACCTTCTTACAGGATAAAAATATTTAAATATCCTCAAATAATCATGTTGTTATGCTGCAACAAAGTCAATAATAAAATAAATAAAAATTCGAAAAATAAACATTTATTTCTATATCTGTATAAAATAAATTACTAAAATTCTACTTACAATATGTTACATATATATGATAATTATTGCACATCACAAGTATTATATTCAACACTACATGAACAATTATCAGCCTTTCAAACACATATCCCTAATCAAAAGAATAATTCTTTTTAGGAAATAAAGTCATATCAAAATTAACATCTAATCAAACCTTGGGATTTTTTTATATATACTACTTCACCATACTGAATAAAAGAGGGACGAAAGACACCAGAGGGACAGTCAAACTCACAGATCGAAAACAAGGGAATCATTTATTGTCATTTCCAAAACATTACGTAAAATATTCCTGATAATATTTTTAATGATTTTAAAATATTTTTTGTTATTCATATGACAATTTTATGTTCTATTTGTGGTATTAATGGGCATGTAGTTTAACCCCCACAGTGGCCCATACCATGAAATATATTTCCAAAACTAGACACCCTAATAATAGTTGTAGTAGGTTTGGTCCAAATGGGTCCAATGCTTAAGAGAAGATTTTTGAATAAGTTTAAATGATACACCTGAAGATAAAAGAATTGGTTACATGTACATAAATACATATGTTAAGGATGTTTCCTACTCTGTTTTTTGACTTTTTGTCAGATATTCTGAATCCTGTAGTTTAATCCTTGTGGCGCCAATAAAAATTTTGCCCACTAATCCCTACTTTTCTTTTCACAATTGTATTTCATATAGTTTAAAAAGCTATTTTTTGAAAATCTTATAAAATCCTTGTTATTTTTTCATAGTTTTTTAAAGGAAAAAGGTGCCAATGTTAAGTGCATGAAGAATCTAGATGTGAATGAAGAATCTAGAGAGAATCATTTCCCGCCAAATTTTCAATTGATTATATCTCAAAAACAAGGACACCGACCTGTCATTATTTTCTACTTTTTAAGTTCCGCTATTTATATATTATCAATTTATAACAGTCTTTTAAGAATCTTGTTATTCTGAAACAGAGGAGTGAAAATGGTAAAATTGTTTTAAAAAAAAACAGTGATGAATTATGTTCATTAATATCTTTGACAGATATATTATATTTCATCAAACATCTCTGACATTCTTTCAAGTTACTTTCATGTGTGACTTTATATAATAAAGAAAAATACAACCTCAGTACAAATATTAAGAACATCAAAATATGTCTTGAATATATTATACTATAAATGTTACAGAGTATCTATAGACTGATTCAGCTGAATTAAACACTTATAAATATGGTCATTAATTAATCATATTTCGTTATTATAAAATGATATAGGATATAAATAAATGTCAATTAAAATACTGTTAATATATTATGCTAAATCATCATTAAAGCTGTTTAATACAGTACATTTTGTTGATAACCAAATAGATCAAATCAAAGTGTCCTACAAAGGTACAATTCTTGACATACTGTTTCAAATAGCAGAGAAACACCAAAATACAGAAAAAAGTCAACCTTTATAGCACTTGTAATTTTCAACCAATTAATAACAGATATATATGAAATCATATTCAGATTCAGACAAATGTTGATACAATTATGCATATGGGCACTACATTTTTCTAGAAAATCAGTTCAAGAAAAGTAAAATTATCTGTCAATACCCATGAGTTTTTGGCAAGAAATCTGTGAATGTTACTTTTAAAATCAGTATTGGAAAGTATGGTCCAGTTCAAATCAATTGTTAGATATAATGATAAAGATACTGTCAATGTTGTTTACTGAGTCAAAGACCCCCATTTCTCCAACTTGACCTGAACTTAATGTCAATTTCCATAATAATTATACTGATTCTCACTCCAATATCTTAAGGGTAATATATAATCTACTCTATTAGTCAATAAAATATAAATGTTACACGTGGCATATTCATAAATAAGGCAATCTGTTTAGGAACATATAGCTATAATTAAATGTTTGGCCTGATTTATGATAAAACAATAATCTTAGGTAAATAAATTAGTGCATATGTCTTTTAAAAATGTCCCGTACAGGAATTAAAACAAGAGGATGTTAGAGTGACAGCAAACCAGATTTTTTAACATTTATTTGTGTCCTAGCATTTTTAAATATCACAAGGACCATAACTACTGAACGATCAAAGTGACAATCATCAATATTGAACTTGACCTTCAATTTGTGATCAGTAACACCAGATTAAAAATGTGAAAAGCTTTGGTTGATTGATTCATGAGTGTAAGCACGAACACGACTGGAAAGACCATTTTTTAATTTTCAAGACCCATAACTCCTGAACGGTAAAAGTGAAAATCGTCAATTTTAAAACTTGACCTCAATTTTGTTATCAGTAACAACATATTAAAATTTGAAAAGCGTTGGTTGAAAGGTTCATGAGTTAAAGCACGGACACGACTGGAAAGACCACTTTTCAATCTTTTAAGAACCATAACTCCTGAATGGTGAAAGTGAAAATCGTCAATATTAAAACTTGACATCCATTTTGTCATCAGTAACAACATATTTAAATTTAAAAAGCTTTGGTTGAACGGTTCATGAGTAAATGCACAAACACTGTTTGGCAGCCGACACATCCCAAAATCAATAACCTATTTTTCCTTCGGAAACCCAGTTAATAAAAATAATTCAGAAATTAAACAGCACTTACAGTTATTGGAATTAAAACAGATTTTTAAACTAAAAATTTGTACTTATTGGATAAAATTTTCTCATCCCTTCCATTCTTCTCCTTCGGTTATTCCCTTTGTGCCAATTAACTGACCATAACTGCTTTGAAATTATGTGTGTCTTCTGCCACATGCAGTCTCCAAATAATATAAGCTGAAATTGCTGATTCCATGTTTTGATATGGGAAACTTAAAACTCACTTAGATCTAATTCTAAAATAGTAGGTACATGTCACTCATGTAGAAGAAAAAGTGGAAATCTGATGGAATTTTATAAATTTGTTGTTTTCAAGGAGATGCTGTGTAACAAATTGAAATACGCAAAAAAGTCATTGTTTGGGTATGGCACACACCCCAAAATCACTTTGTTAAATAGCAGGTACACAACTTAATGTCCTGTAAACGATTCTGTTAGTTCTATCAAGCCATTATTAATTGATTGTGGATTAAGAAAGTATGACAAAGGGTATGAGGTTTATGATGCAAAATGACAGAAGTAATCCCTGTGTGTCTCTTGTGATAGCTGGACACTGTCAGGCAACACAAAAACTATGGCAAGATTAGCAGCATTACACGTTGGGGAATTAGTTCTGACAGGATAATTTTAAGAACCCCCACCCCCCTTTTTGTATAGTCTAAGAATCTACAGCATTTGTCTACTTAACTTATTTTGATTCTTTATAAAAGTATATGTTTAATCTGCAATTGAGAATGTAATAGCTGGAATTATCCTTTGAAGACAATGATAGACCCTTTGTAGAAAAATTATACTTCAATATATATTGAATCTGAGTATGTAACATAAAGTTAAAATGTTTTATAATTATTTGACAATAGGTTTTACATTTTAGATTGATTCTTAAGATTATATTTCCCTTGCAAATAATAATTGTATGGCATAAAAATATACCGATATCCTATGACATATCAGTCTAAGCTAATATGAGGCACATTTTAAAAAGAAAAACAACAGGTCTTGTTACAACTTAAACTCCACAGTGAAAAAAGTTTTGCAGAATAGAGTACTACAATCTCTTCTGTAATTCTTGGTCTGCAGAAAGTCTATTCACAGTATACTAGGATAACATAAGGGTCATTCAGACCAAGTATGGCAAAAATATGCCAATGGTTTATGCAGTTATTCCTGTTTTAAATTATTCAGATACATATACATAAATGGGTAAACATTTTGTTCTCCTTCAGAAGCTGGGGTAAAATCAGGTGTAATCAAATTAATAGCTGTAAACATATAATTTGATTTCATACTTATATGAGAAATTATATTAGGGTGCAGGGATGCAGGCTTTCTTATCTAAATAAGATTAGATGAAAATGATGCAAGTTTAAATTTAATCTTCCTTTCCTTGAACGTTCGACCCTATTGCCATTACATTTGAAACTTAATATCTAAAATTATCACAATATAAAAAAGCTACCGGCCAATATTAAAAAATAAAATTCAAAAAGACTAAAAATTTACATTCGATAAAATCTATTCAATAAAATATCAAAATATCTTCCTTAAAAAGTAAATGTTATAAATTCATACTTTGTTTAATCTTCATTTTAAAAGACTCAATACTTACTAAAGAAATTCATTCGTTTTGAAGATATAAGATACTCACAATGATATAAGACCTGCAGTTTGCAAAAACATTTCCAATGTCTTGTAATATCTCAAGAAAAGTGTTACATCTAGTATGTGTTGTGTTTGCACTTTAAATAATCCAGTATACAAATATATACTTCCATTATACAATATAGTACTGCATTTTGTTGTGTACTAAAATCCAACTATAACATGACATCATATTATACAATGTTGAATATATATTGTAACACTTGTTACTTCATCTTCCTTTAGACATTAAAAATACAATAAAAACAATAATGTAGATAATATGTCCATGTCATTAGGAGTATAGTATAATCTTTCATATATCTAATATAACTTATTTTGGACTGTACCTCTTTTTACTTCATAGCTTATAAAATTCAGTCCAAAACTGGCCTCCCTTAGCACTTTGGATGCACCATTTCTGTATATCTGAGTAAAAAATAAATAAAACATTGTATGCCATACACCAACTTAAAAAACAAAAACCAAAAAACAGAAACCATTGGATGTCTTTATTACCTGCAACCTTCTTTAATTATTGATGAAGACATTTTAACCAACAATTTCCTAGTTTGTTCAATTACAAATCTGGACACGGAAGCTAGTGTCCCTTTTAATTTGTTGGGAGTAAAATAACCCTACTTGTCATCTGACCCTGAGTTTGCAGGTCAAAGGAGCGCAGGCAAAATAATTAGTTTTGACCTACATGTTAATACTACTGTATAGAACAGTTCTGTTTTGTTTCATTTATTCTAGTCTGAACATTGTTAATGGCACTGTGACATCTCTTAGTGAATCCTCTTCCTGTATTTAACAATCTGAAAAGTAAAGTAATTATATGTAATTTTCAATGAAATAAACATTATAGTTACTTATATAGAGGACATGATCAAAGAAATAGACCACCAATTGGACATAAGAATTGAGTTCAATAGTGATAATGCCCTAGCATACAGCCAAACATAATTAATCTATGTATAGAAACAAAACAAGTGGCTCTTCAGAGCATGTGTTGCTCACCTAGGTCTATGTGCATCGTCATCAACTGACACTCTCCAACATTGTAGACTATAAAGTATGATGCAGGACTAAAATCTCTTTTTTTTGTTGAACTTGTATTGCTAATCATTTTTTTGTTCGCAGTTTCTCTCTATCTTCTATAGTTTTTACCCAAAACACAATAAAGGGTAAAACTCATCATTTAAGGGCAATAAATCATGCTGACCTATTTACAGATCTTGTCTTGCTGATCATTTTTGCTGTTTAAAGTTTCTATCTGTCTATCATAGTTTTCAAGATAAGAGGCAAAGACGCAAAAAATTGTAATTTAATGGCACTAACTCATATAAAGAGTTGATCAACGATTTCATCAATATCAACTAAATTGTAGATCTTGCCTTGTGGATCATTTTTGCCTCCAAAATTCTCTATCAATTACAGTTTCAAAATAAAAGGCAAAAAAGACAAATATCGTAAAAATCGTCATTTAAAGGCAATAACTCCAATGTGGAGTCAACTGAAATATCTCAACTATGATTGGTTAAATTTAGCCCAGTAGTTTAAGAGGAGATTATCTTTGTAAAAGTTAACTGAAGACGACAAATGACAATGACAGATGCCAAGTAATGGCAAAAGCTTTGGGGCCAGGAGAGCTAAAAATTATGACCTAGACAAGTATGAGAAAGGAATATTAAGTAGAATTCAGTGATAAACAATGAGTCTTCCTTCCATGAAGTTAGTAAAATGTAGCCTTGTAGTCAGCAACTTTGTGTTCACATGAAATATCATTGATATGTTAATTTTTCCATAAATTTACTAGTCTGAAAAATGGAAAACAAGGCAAAGTAAGTGACTGAATTTTGAATATAAAAGTAAGAACGTGATTTGATTGCCAATGAGACAACTTTCCATCAGGGTCCAAATAAGGAAGAAGTTAGCAATTATAGGTCACCTTGCGTACTTTATATCCTAAACATGAAAGCTTTTACAATTGTCTAATGTGAAGCCTGGTTTTGAACGTACCTTGTAAATGGTTCTCTGGTACATCTCTGCCTTTTTTGTTCTCTGTAACTGTTAGTATAATACACATCTGTTGATGTCTTTTCATCATTGGCTTTAGGTTGACAAAATGAATTATTGGTGACCTCTGCCAGATCGAGGTCATCCATAGTGACCTGCATGAACGTGTTTTCAGTACAATCAGCTGATGGAGTGCGAGTAGTATTCCAACCATTGGTATCCTCAAATACGTCAGATGTCTGAAATAAAACAATACATAGAAGGGTGCATTCAAACAATAAATATTCTTTATCGGCAGGTTTTGTCAATCTTAATAGCTGAAAACCAAGAAATTACAGAGATGCATTTTTCTCATGTATCCTAGATTTGCACCATAATCTATAATAAAAAATATAAAAATGACTAGCCTTGACTACATGTCAATAGAATATATGTCACATGTAAGTCAGGAAATGCTAACCCTCCGGTAGTACCTGACATGACTATATTATAGAATGTACTGTCCACATTATGAGTTTGTCTATTTTTGTATGTGTGCATGTGTATATTGCTACAGAAGTAAATATGGCTGCATTTTGGTACGTAAGGAAAGACATAAGAATAAAGAGGTCTCATACATTATACTTGAAATGCTTCGTTCATATTAGAAAAGTCATTCCACAAGAAATACACAACATGAAAATGTGTCCATAAAACACCATGCCTCACTCACTATATCACATTTCCATGTTAATTAATGAACCCCAAAAACTGGATGAAAACCCAAATTTGGAATGTATTAAAAAAAATTGTATAATGTTGCATGGAACCATGTGTTTCACCTGGGACTGCTATTGTCAGTGTAAAATTGTATGATGACTGCTAAATATCTTAGTCCATTTATCAGTTAAATAAAGGAAATAAAAAGAATTCAAAACTTCTTCAGATATTGTTTCTTTATCATGAAGAATCTTCTATCAAATGTCTTTAAAATTTGTATAGGATTTGACAAAAAAAAGAAGAATCTCTGAAGTTTTGACAAAGATAAGTTTCAAGTTGATTTGCTTACCACTTCCTAGTAAACTACCTGAAAACCAAAATTTCAAACTGATTTGAAACAGAAGGCAACGGGACAAACACACAAACATGAAAATATTATGTCTTAATACTATCCTAAAATACCAGATAACTGATTGACAGTAAGTGACAGCATATTGGCTTTACTTTGACCTTGATGATCTGACCCTAGCTACAAAAATTATCCTATTGTTTTTTTTGTTTTCATTCGCTTCTTTAATAATAACATATCTAATCAAATTACATAAAATTCTTCAACATCATAATGGTTTTTTTTTTGTTATTCTGTAAACGTTAAATATTTAAAAAAAAAATATAGTTAAAACTTAAATTATTTTTTTTATTGTGGACATATGTAATAATTATTTAAATAATAATACTTTAAAATAATGATATAAGCAGATAAGTACTAAAACTAAGTATTAAACTTCTTTGGCAAAATTTAATGTTTTATTTTGTTATAATTGGCACAATCACTAAACACCAAAATATCCAATAGATCAGGATGTCTAAGGGTTTATTATGAAATCTAAAGTTTATGGAGATACCTTATGTTTCTTTTTAACATATTAAATAAGGCCAATTAAAATTTATTGATAGATTTTCATCCCTGCCCGCCCCAATTTGAAAAAAAATTTCTATGTCCCTGCCATAGCGGAGGGGGCATTAAGTGCTACCCTTGTCCGTCCCATCCGTACGTCCCCAAAATTGGTTTCCGTTCCCTAACTTTAGTTTGCCTCAACCAAATGTTATAAAACTTACACACAATGCTTATTACCACAAAACACAGACCAAGTTGAAAATTGGGTGGCGTCACTTTTACCGTTCATGAATTATGCCCCTTTATAAAAAAAAAAATTGCTGAATTTTTTGTTTCCGTTTTCTAACTTTAGTTTGCCTCAACCAAATGTTATGAAACTTATACACAATGCTTATTACCACAAAATACAGATCAAGTTTGAAATTGGGTGACGTCACTTTTGCTGTTCTTGAGTTCTTGAGTTATGCCCCTTTATAGATGGAAAAATTGCTAAATCTGTCTTAAGTTTGCCTCAACCAAATGTTATGAAACTTATACACAATGCTTTTAATCACAAAAAAAGGTCTTAACTACGTGAATCCTGCATCTGTATATGGAAGCATATTTACAAGCGGGGGCATCTGTGGCCCATAGACACATTCTCCATTTATTTAAGGGGGTACCGTACACCTAAGAAAAGATAACTCTTACTGAAATTCTGAATTAACTTACGTCAATATAGCGTTTTAAAATACGCCTCATATTACAAGCTTTTATTGACCTTGAATAGTTGTTTACCTGTTGATATGAAGCAGACGATACATCAATGTTATAATGGAACAGCGTAAACGTGATCCGTTTGGTAAATTTTCGAGGTCTAAATCTGCCGATAAGAAATCAAATCGTTCAGATTACTTCAAATGGTTAAATGATGGCAGGAACTTGGAAGATTCTCCGGAAGTCGGCTTGCGTAATGATCATGGCAATTACGTATACGAGTTTCTTGATGTTGGGGCCGAGGCTGAATTGGAAGATGATAACAAGTCTGATGTGTCAAAATCTTGGACAATGGGGAGAAGAATTGTTGAGTTGAATGTCCTAGCAAAAGGAATGTATTGCTGCACTTGCAAGTGTCCGCTTCACCTGTCAAATATTGTAGGAGAACGATTGTTTGGGCTAGGTGGTCTACTGATGGTGGATTGTGAACTGTGTCATACTGTAACTGATGTCCAGTTTGGGAAGAGGGGGCCATCTGGAAGTTATGACATCAACACAAAAGCTTCCATAGGTAGGTATAGAAACTATATGATTATATCACATGCTTGTAAATTATAATAGCCTGTATGATGCTAATATTTACAGTTTACATTTATAATTAACATGTTGCATTGTTTATTTTTCATAATTATATTTAAATGCATTCATGATTTTTGTTTAATAAATAGATTAATATTGAGTCCTTGGGGGCAATTACAACTAATGTGTCTATATATATATAGCTAACTCAACTGTTACAGTGCATGCTGCTTGCATACTTGGGCAAATTGGGGTGTTGGGAAAACTTTTTAGATTAAGGTATATAGGATTTTTTCTGAGACAAGTGCATGTGCCTTATAGAAAATAATTGTTGAAAACATTGTCATTGTTCAATGAACATCATCAACTTTCAACCCCTCCCTTCTTATCTTTTTCATAGTCAAAGTAGGCTTTGAAAAGAGTTATAATAACTAATTATAAACTGTGAAATATTTTTTTTAGGGCTTGGCCATTAAATGTACAACTATATGTACATCATCATATCATGTAAATATTCTTAGATGATGTTTTGTAAGCCAAGTCAGAGAAATTAGCACAGGACTGTCAGCCTGTGTCCTGTTAATATATCTTCAGTCTAGAAAATTTTAAAGAATTTTACAATTTTAAGAGAAACAAATTACCATCTTTTCTTTGTTTATAACACAACTGTTTCTTAGTCTTGGAAATGCAGGTGTGTACATTTTCCATTATTAAGACATCAATTTTCTTTCTCAATTTTAATAATACCTCTTATTTCTATTAAAGGAATGATACATGCAGGGATGGGCCCAACTCATCTGCAGAACTTTCTAGCAGAATGTAACCTGCCATCCATTACAGAGAGCACATTAAGGAAAAAAGAGAAAGAATTAAGTGGACAGATCAAAAATGTAACAATCCAGTCGTGCAATATGGCACAAAGAGAGGAAAAGTCACTCAGCACAAATGGCAATGTAAGTATTAAATGTATGCACACAAAGTGGAATATCTAGACTGGATGCCCCTTTCTAGAAGTCTTTTTTACCCCCCCCCCCCCCAAAAAAAAAATCCTTATATTGTATAACTTTTCATGGAGTACATCTAAAAAAGTCCTAGATCCTAGATTTAATTCAAGGGACTTAGGTAATATATATGAGAATTATAATACAATTTGATCATGTATAATGCTACATTGTATATATGTACAGGTATGTCATATGAAACTTCAAAGTAACATCAAACATGTTTTTGAAGTGAAGCTGATTTTTTATTATTTCATGGTTTCATGCATCAAGAATCATTCAAAGAATTATTTAACAAATAACAGTTTCACAGAAGAGTAAATTTGTAATATTAAAATGTGTCCCCTTAGTAAATATTGTCCTAATTACAAAAAATACAATGATCATTTAGGTATAAGTGTGAGACAGACAGAATAAACAACAATACATGTACATGCATGTACAGATCAAGACTTTTCACCACCTAAAATTGCACAGGACAGCACAATTTTTGAAATTTTTCATTAGATTTAACAGTGAGGACCAGCAGAATTTCTTTAAGGACCACAAAAACAATAATTTCTAATTGTGTATTTGGTGTGCAGTCACTGCAAATGTTTGTTTCTGCATACATATGCATCCAAAAGATTTGTTTGTGTTCTTAATAATGTATTTGTAGCTTACTACAAAACTAGGTATCCTAAAGGTGAAGGTAAATGTTTAAGGTCAATCTATAAAAAACTTGCTGGGACTTTTTTTTATTAGAAATGCAATCTTTTCTAGATTGAAGCAAGTTTTGATGGTGGCTGGCAAAAGAGAGGCTCCGGTTGGAATTATAATAGTAATACAGGTAAATAAACAGCATTCATATAATTTTTATTATATAATTTAATGTCTGACATTCATGATTTAATTACTGTATTTTGTTAAATTTTGCTGAATCAATTATTAATATAAATAACTTAATTGGACAAAGAATTAATTTCACTATTTAGTTTGATATAAGACATGTAAGAAGCTGTAGTTAAAGAAATATCTTCCCATACTTATTTTTATTCAATCCCTAGGCTAGATCTCTTTAACTTACCTGGTTCAATTATAGCAAATAGGTGAGCTTTTGCCATCATTTTGCATACATTATAGAAGTAAGATGTGTTACATGATTGCCAGTGACTCAACTGTCCACCAGAGCTCAAATGAATTGGAAGTAGGCAATTATAGCTAGACAACTATAAAACCTTCAACAATGAGAAAAACTTATATCCAACATGAAAAATACCAAACAATTCAAATGAAAAAAACTAACGGCGTAATTAATAACAAAACAATTTATGAAGAAAATATGACAGATATAAACTAACAACAACCACTGAACTACAGGCTCTTTATTATCAATATCTGTCCGTCATATTAATCTGTAACATTACATCTGTGAACCTTTCATTAAAATATCCATTATCCTACACCCCTAAACAAATTGAAACCAAACTTCAAAAAAATATTTACTAAAATTGAGAATGGAAATGGGGAATGTGTCAAAAAGACAACAACCCGACCATAGAACAGACAACAGACAACTAAACTGTTATCATTGCATCATGTATGTAATACCTTTTACTTTAATTCTTGCAGGACATGCAACTTTTATTGGAAAGGAGACAGGAAAGGTGTTGTCCTTTGAATTAAGAAGTAAGACTTGTAAGATTTGTGAATTCCATCTTAATAGAAAAGAGACTGTTCCGGAGCATGAGTGTCAGTTGAATTGGCATGGCTCTAGTAAATCCATGGAGGCAGATATGGCGGTGTCTATGGCCCACAGATTAAAAGATGATAAATGTGAAATTAATGGTATGTTTCATATTCAAAATAAAGAATTTTGAAATACAATTTCATGTAATGAGTTCCCCAAAATGCATTGAAAATATCATATAAAGGGAAATAACTCTTATTTCAACAATACTTTCAAATTTGAAAGGTGAATATTTTGTGATTTTCACAGGAAACTTGGATTTTGTTCTTACACTTTTATGACAAAGAATCAATTAATTTTGTTGTTAATGATATAACATAACCAATGTCATGTAAAAATCCAGTTTATATTTATTTTAGTTGCTTTATTTACATTAGCTACATGTAATTAAATAAGGCAGAATATAACAGCTATCACTATTTTCCAAATAAAAAAATATGCTTGCAGTTGTATATCTTGACCGCTGTTGTGTTGCCTTTTTGTAGGTTTATAATTCTTCAATCTTCATTTCAGTCATACATGCTGATAATGATGCAGCAACATCAGCCAGACTTGAAGTTGAGTTTGAAAATATAAAGAAAAAAGATGACCAGAACCATGTAAAGAAGGGTATATCAACAAGCTTATATAATATTTCAAAGAGGTATTTTTACAAATTAATTTTAGTGTTACGAGTATGTCTATGAAAAGGCTTAAGCCCATCCTTTACCAAATCAAATCATACTTATAGATCTTATTATATTGATCTGTCAAGACTACAAACTCTAAAAAAACATTACAATGAAATTTCAATTTTGTGTTGTTCAAAGACATGTAAAGATCTTTGCATTTTTGTGTTATCTGAATTCACAAACATTACATTGAAAATTGAAAGAACTATTAGTATATATATGAGTAATCTTCATGGCTTATGGAACGACCAAATAGTTTTTAGTGAGGCTTTATGAAGTTTAGAATAGAAAGGCCGGACTTAAAAAAATAGAAACTAGGACCCTTTTTTCTAAAAAATTAAAAGGAAGATGCATGAATCCATGATTGAAGATTTCATCCATGCCCCATAAAAGTCTGAAGGGTGCTTGCTCCCTCAATAGTATAGACAGATAAGCAATAAAAAAAGAAGACTTTTTAAATTTTTTTTTTACATTAATTATTTCTTTCTTATTTTGTAGTTACAAAGAATTGCAAAAGGATGAAACAAAACAATATATTTTGAGGTGCTTTATGTATTCCATTAAGGGAGGTGACAATGAAGATGACATTAAGATTGGGCTGCAAAGAATTGTACCACATATTTTTGGATCACATGAAAATTGTAAAGATGCTGACTGGTGTAGCTATCATCAAGATCCAGAAAAATTTACGTAAGATCTTCTATACTGGTATTGACAACATATATTTAGCTCACTGGGGCCCGAAGGGCCCCATGTGAGCTTATACCATCACTTGGCGTTCGTCTGTCGTCGTCGTCGAAAACTATTTCAAAAATCTTCTCCTCTGAAACTACTGGGCTAAATACCTTCAAACTTTCAATAAATGTTCCTTAGGGTATGTAGTTTATAAATTGTATCCGAAGTTTTGATCCATGGACAAACATGGCCGCCATGACTAAAAATAGAACATAGGGGTCAAATGCAGTTTTTGGCTTATATCTCAAAAACTAAAGCTTTTAGAGCAAATCTGACATGGAGTTAAATTATTCGATTGGTCAAAATCTATCAGCCCTGAAATTTTCAGACGAATCGAACAACCCATTGTTGGGTTGCTGCCACTAAATTGGTAGTTTAAAGGAAATTTTGCAGTTTTTTGTAATTATCTTGAATATTATTATAGATAGATATAAACTGTAAACAGCAATAATGTTCAGCAAAGTAAGATTTACAAAAAAGTATATATGACCAAAATTGTCAATTGACCCCTTAAGGAGTTATTGCCCTTTAAAGACAATTTTACACAATTTGTTCATCAAGTTTGGTAACATTTAAAAATCTTCTCTGAAACTACAGGGCCAAATACCTTAAAACTTTAACTAAATATTCCTTAGGGTATCTAGTTTGTAAATTGTATCCGAAGTTTTGATCCATTGACAAACATGGCCGCCATGGCTAAAAATAGAACATAGGGGTCAAATGTAGTTTTTGGCTTATATCTCAAAAACTAAAGCTTTTAGAGCAAATCTGACAATGAGTAAAATTGTTCAATTAGTCAAGATCTATCAGCCCTGAAATTTTCAGACGAATCGAACAACACATTGTTGGGTTGCTGCCACTAAATTGGTAGTTTAAAGGAAATTTTGCAGTTTTTTGTTATTATCTTGAATATTATTATAGATAGATATAAACTGTAAACAGCAATGATGTTTAGCAAAGTAAGATCTACAAAAAAGTTAAATGACCAAAATTGTCAATTGACTGCTTAAGGAGTTATTGCCCTTAAAGCTTTAAAGACAATTTTACACAATTTGTTCATCAAGTTTGCTAACATTAAAAACCTTCTCCTCTGAAACTATTGTGCCTAATACTTCTTAACTTTAAATGAATGTTCCTTTAGGAATTTAGTTTTTGAAATATATCCGAATTTTTGATCAATCAACAAACATGGCCGTCATGGCTAAAAATAGAACATAGGGGTCAAATGCAGTTTTTGGCTTATATCTCAGAAACTAAAGCATTTAGAGCAAATCTGACATGGGGTAAATGTATAAAAGGTCAAGATCTATCATCCCTGAAATTTTCAGACAAACATTGTTGGGTTGCTGCCACAAAATTGGTTATTTTAAGGAAATTTTGCAGTTTTTGGTTGTTATCTTGAATATAATTGAAGATAAAGATAAACTGTAAACAGCAAAAAATGTCCAACAAAGTAAGATCTACAAAAAAGTTTTATATGACCAAAATTGTCAATTGACCCCTTAAGAAGGACAATTTTACACAAGTTGTTTATGTTTTTTAACTTTAAAAAAAGAAATGAATCTAGTATAAATTTTGTATTTTATTTCCTTGTACGTCAAGAAACATAGAAACTATGGCTAAAATGGAACATATGGGTAAAATGCATTTATTTGCTTTTGAAGAAAATATGACAGATACAATGAACATTGAAGTGGCATTTTTAAGCCACTCACTAATATATATTGAAAAGCAAAATTAATCATTGATGAAAGATTTAACCAAAATTTTAACAGGTGAGCGATTCAGGCTCTTGAGAGCCTCTTGTTTTCTGTATTGTCTCATTTCTCAAAGAATTAATAGATATAAGATGTGGTATGAGTGCCAATGAGACACCTCTTCCATCCAATTCACAATTTGTAAAAAGAAACCAATTATACATATGTCAATCCTAAAAATTGATTCCTTAATATGCTGAATTTAACCGTGTATTAAGTTTTTGGATTTTGGCCTGGTTTTTAAATTGGTCCACATTGAGGTCCAAATGGTCAAAAATTAAACTTTGTTTGATTTCATCAAAAATTGAATTATAGGGGTTCTTTGATATGACGAATTCAACTGTGTATTTAGGTTCTTAATTTTTGGTCCCGTTTTCAAATTGATCTACATTAAGGTCCACAGGGTCCAAAATTATACTTTGTTTGTTTTTAACAAAAACTGAATTCATGGGGTTCTTTGATATGCTGAATCTAAACATATATTTAGATTTTTGATTATGGGCACAGTTTTCAAGTCGGTCCAAATTGGGGTCCGAAATTAATCTTTGTTTGATTTCAACAAAAATTGAATATATAGGGTTCTTTAATATGCTGAATCTAACCATGTATTAAGTTTTTGGATTTTGTACCCGATTTAAATTGGCCCACATTGAGGTCCTAAGGGTCCAAATTAAACTTTGTTTGATTTCATCAAAAATTGACTTATTAGGGTTCTTTGATATGCGGAATCTAACCTTGTATTTAGAGTTTTAATTTTTGGTCCCATTTTCTAATTGGTCTACATTAAGGTCAAAGGGTCCAAAATTAAACTTTGTTTGATTTCAACAAAAATTGAATATATGGGGTTCTTTGATGTGCTGAATCTTACCATGTATTTAGATTTTTGATTTTAGGTCCTGTTATCAAATTGGCCCACATTAAGGTCCAAAGGGTCCAAAATTATACTTTGTTTGTTTTTAACAAAAATTGAAATCATGGGGTTCTTTGATATGCTGAATCTAAACATATATTTAGATTTTTGATTATGGGCCCAGTTTTCAAGTCGGTCCAAATTGGGGTCCAAAATTAAACTTTGTTTGATTTCAACAAAAATTGAATATATGGGGTTCTTTGGTATGCTGAATCTAACCATGTATTAAGTTTTTGGATTTTGAACCCCATTTAAATTGGCCCACATTGAGGTCCAAAGGGTCCAAATTAAACTTTGTTTGATTTCATCAAAAATTGACTTATTAGGGTTCTTTGATATGCGGAATCTAACCTTGTATTTAGATTTTTAATTTTTGGTCCCATTTTCTAATTGGTCTACATTAAGGTCAAAGGGTCCAAAATTAAACTTTGTTTGATTTCAACAAAAATTGAATATATGGGGTTCTTTGATATGCTGAATCTTACCATGTATTTAGATTTTTGATTTTGGGTCCCGTTATCAAATTGGTCCACATTGAGGTCAAAAGGGTCCAATATTAAATTTTATTTGATTTCTTCAAAAAATGAATTCTTGGGGTTCTTTGATATGCTAAATCTAACCATGTATTTAGATTTTGGATATTTGACCTTAGTAGGTATGTCAAATTTAAAAATTTTAAGTTCTTAGACTACATTCATTTTGTGTCAGAAACCTATGCTGTGTCAAATATTAATAACAATCCAAATTAAGAGCTGTATCAAGCTTGAATGTTGTGTCCATACTTGCCCCAACTGTTCAGGGTTCGACCTCTGCGGTAGTATCAAGCTGCACCCTCTTTTTGTTCTAAGAACTCCCCTTTTTTCTTAACAACTCCTGCCCCTGTTTTAAAATTTCTTGATCCGCCCATGTACAGAAATATTGAACATATACTTATACTAAATATTAACACTAAAGTTTCAGGCTAAGTATTTTGTGCAAATAAAAATTTGAAATGTAAACTCCATTTTAGGTATAAAAGTTTACCAAATGGGAAACCGCTCAAGTCTGAAGGATTAAAGGTTGAATTGAATAATTTAGTGCAAAAAATGATTGGTAGGAGTAATTCTTTAAATGATCTTGGATCTACACAGTCAAATGAAAGCTTTAACCAGCTTGTATCTGTAAAGGCACCTAAATCAAGGTAATTTGTATATATATTTGCGTGTCAGTTCACATTCTTAAGCAACAATGAATACAAGTATAAAAAATATGTTGTATGATTACCAATAAGACAACTCTACACAAGAGACCAAATGACACAGAAATTAACAGCTATGGGTCACAGAAAGGCCTTTAACAATGAGCAATTCTCATATGACATAGTAAGCTATAAAAGGCCCCAATTCACAAATTTATGTATAGATATAAAAAGATGTGGTATGAGTGCTAATGAGACACCTCTTCCATCCAAGTCACAATTTGTAAAAAGAAACCAATTATACATATGTCAAAGTACAACATTCAACACAATTCAAACAAGAAAACTAATGGCTAAATGTAAAAAATCAATAAATGAAAAACAAATATGTCACATTGCAATTACTGACAGCTAGTTCAAAGCCAATAACAAAAAAACCCATGCATCTAAGACTTAATTATCTTGTCAGGGCTTTAAATTTTTCATACCCTGACTACTAAAAGTGATTTACATCCATCTGTCCAACTCAAGTTAACAGGCAGGTTGAAGTTTATTAGTTTTCAATGAAGGGAGTCAATACTATCATAGTGAAACTTTATATAAAAATATTAATCTTTTGCAAAGGGTCTTCATATTTGGTGAGTTGGTATGTAACTGTTACCTGCACCTTTGACATCAAGTTCAAATAAGGGAAGAGGGGAATATATTTTAATGTACTTAAAAAGTTCTTCATACTCTTTTTTAGACATTATGGTGGATCATGCTCACTTCAGAATAGGCTATCTGCAGCTGTGCTTCAGAAAAATGAAGGATATGGCTACTTATCCAAGGTAACTATGAAAATTTTTACATCTTCTTTTTGAACGAAGGGTGACATAGTGTTTGAATATGAGTGCTTCTTTTTCTTTCCTCTTCTATTTCTTTCTTCTTCTTCATCTTCTCAGAAAAGCCTGTTCAGACCATAACTTTATTAATCTTTTGATATAGCATATAATGAATTTTTAGTATGTGGGTATATCACTTGTGTCAAGTTCCAGGATTGGTAACTAAGACCTTGACCTAAAGTTCATTAAAATTAAATTTCTAGTACTATCTTTATGTCCACTCCATGTCTTTTTGTCCGTCTGACCTTACTCTCACCCTCTTTTTTTTCCTCACTCTAACTGAAGTTTGCTTCATCACGGAAAGTGAGTCACTTATTGTTCTAGAGTCTTGAATGCCCCTTTATAACTTGGAAAATTGCAAATTGTTTTGTTTCCTTACTCTAACATAAGTTTGTCTGATACAACTTTTATAAAACTGATACATATAAGAATCACAACACTCAGACAGAGTTCAAATTTGTGTTGTGATTCATTTGTCAACCTATAGTTCTGTCCCTTTTTAACTTGGAAAATTGCAAAGCTACAGCGGAGGCATTCATGACATCTTACACATTCTCCTTTAATATTTTTTTTATCTTTTTGAAACCATATTACATGTTGCATCCAATGTTTATATACAAGGAGATTACTGTATTGCTTTTTTAGCCCTGCAGATATACATTGTACAATTTACAGTCACGAATCATGTTTATCTAGTATGTAACTCAATTATCTTCTTTCTTCTCAAATTATTATCAGATGTGGTATGTGTGCTAATGCAACAACTATCCATCCAAGTCAAGATATATAAAGAGTAACCATTATAGGTCAAAATATGTGTTCACGATGGAGATTACTGTTTTTTCTTGATTTTTAATATTTTAATGCATATATGTATTACATTTTAATTATGTTGCATTTTTTTAGATCAATGAAGCAGCATACCTCTCTCCAGGAGAATTTACAATGGCAATTTCCTCTGTAAGAGATAAAAAAATGGAAAAAAGAAAAGAAAAAAAGAATTCAAAGGAATATAAAGTTGGCCGTATACAAAAGAAAAGAAACCGCAATAAGAACGAGCGTAAACATCTGGTAAGAGAAGGAAAAACCTATGGATCTCAAATGGAATTTGATCTTCAACAGGACCCTGAGCAAACCACAGAAATTCCACTTCCTTTTAATCTAGATGGCACTGACTGCAAAGTGTTTTTTGATTTAGAAACAACAGGCTTGGGTAGGAATAGCGACATCATTCAGATAGCAGCTAAGTCAAATTCAAATAGTTTTAACAGATATGTCATCCCAAGAGTGGACATTCAGATCGAGGCCAGTAAGATCACTGGTATAACATACAGCCATGGAACAAATAAAATGTATGTTCGAGGAGATATAGTTGAACCTGTGACACTACATAAAGCCCTACTTGATTTTATACATTTTTTAAAGGAACAGAACCAGCCAATTATACTAGGTCATAACATTTGTAACTTTGACATTCCTGTTATTGTTAACAAATTGAAAGAATGTAATTTGTTTTCGACATTTTGTGAAACCGTGAAAGGTTTTATTGACACAATGAAAGTGGCTAGAAAATATATTCCAAAAAATGATGTAGAAAATTTTAAGCAGCAGACTCTTGTCAAACAGTTTGTAGGAGAAAATTACTCTGCCCACAATGCAATAGAGGATGTGGATTCATTAAAAACATTATACGACAGTAAATTTACCTCACTAGTGAAAGATACCACCAAAGAGTGTGAAATGCATTCAGGACTACTTTCAGACTGAGGAATGAATTTTGTATGGCCAAAAAATAAATATATGTCTGTGTTTTCCTATAACCTGACTGTGTCTACCCTGATACTTGTTTTATTATTCTCCCAACACAATGAATTTGCCAAGGATATGATGTTTCAGTCTGTCCATTTGTCTATCCTATTCTTGTTAGTTCAACTCCTTAAAAACCGCACAACAGAATTTAATGAAACTTGGAAGGTGGTAAGAATGCAATAAGTGTGTATATTACAAAGTTCTATTAAATTTTGATTCCCTGCATTATAATTTCATATTTTGAGTTATAGTCCCAGATCAATTGACACTGAAAAATAAATAATTTGCCATTTTTATCTGCAAAAAAATGAGCGCCAAAGTCAAACATACTAGTGGTTGGATATTGTACCCTATGAAATAAATATTTCAAAAATCATTTATCTGAAGCTTCTAAAATAAAATGAACCAAACTTTAAAGTCTCATGAAGGTCAAATTTGCAAGGAACACACCACTTCATGATAATACATTCATATTTGCCAAAGATGTAAGACCTAGGTCAAAAGTCATGGCCTGGTCATTTTCATGCTAAAAACTACATAAAGTTGACCTTATGGTCAAATTTCAAGATCACATGAAGGTCATCATGGTGCAAGACACATTACCTGATGATGATACATCTACATACCAAAGATCTAAGACCAAGGTAAAAATACAACAAGGCATGGTAAAGTGTTTATAGTAAAAAATAAAATTGACCTTGAGGTCAATTTAAGGTCACATGAAGATAATCACAACACAGGACACTCCATCTCATTATGATACATCCTCATACAAAAGATGCAAGACCTAGGTAAAAAAAAAACAACAAAAAAAATGCATATGGCCTTGTTTTCTATCAAAAATACATTTATTTGACCTTGAGGTCAAATTTCAAGGTCACATGAAAGTCATTATGATATGTGACACTCTACCTCATGATGATACTTCAACATGCAAAATATCTAAGCCCTAGGTCAAAAGACAAGAAAACTATGCCCCAAATATATTATCAGAATGGAACTTGCTCTTATTTATTGAGGGTGGTGGTATTATAAAAAAACTATAATTGAAAAAAATCTGGTGGATAAAAATTTATAAATTTTTGCAAAAATAACAAACTGATATAGCACTACAAATGGTTAGTTTAAAAAAAAATTAAACGACACATTTTTTTTTTTTTTTATTTTTTCTTCAAATACTTGACCCATCATATTCACTTTTGGGGGGCTGAATCTGAGACCCCCCTTTTTTAATTCGGACAAAAATTTAAATCCAGAATAAAAAAAATACAAGTAAAGGGAATAGGTGAACTAAACTTCGCCTCAGTTTTCACTATTAACTATGCTATTGTCAATTTAGGATCAATTTTATTTTTTTTTAACATATATACCCCTAAACCCATATTTCTGAAACTTCCAAATTTGGCTGATATTAGCATGTAAAAGATGCCATATTCGAGTTGCCAAATCTTTTAAACGTATGGTTCAAATCCTTCGAAATTTTTATAAGATGTTTAGCTTGGCCTAGTTTATCAATGGGATAAAAACAAGAAAAATTAAACGACAGGTTTTTTTTGGTGTATAGTGTTGGGTACCCCCTTAAATATTAAGATTTTGTTCACTTCCATTACCATTAACCGCCGATAATTTCGTTTCATTCACAATTTCCTAATGCAAATTTTAGTTTTCTTTGAGTAATCTAACCAAAACAATTTATTTAACATATTCTGCTGCACTATGATGACAAAATTATCTTCCGAGAAAAGAGATTGATTACGGGAAGGTCATGAAGTGTCCCAGAACGTAAATCCTGGTATGTCACAAATTTCAGTGATTAGAAAACTGGATACCAATGCATATGGTTCATATTATGGGCACTACAAACCATAGCTTAGAAAGCAAAATAAATTTGATGTAGATTGTCTAAAAGAGAGCATTTCTCAACGTTTTTGCTATTTATTGATATAGGTTTCTAAAGTGGCAATTACATGTAAAACAGTGATTGCCAATCAGAAATCTTTAAGTAAAATTCCTTATATATACATGATATAAGCTCATCATTACCCTTGCATGCATATGAAGAAAACATTACAAAAGGGTTTCGTAGGAAATAAAAAAAAAAAAAAAAAATCCTCCCATTTTTTTCCAAAATCTGGATGAAAATCTCCTAAAATAATTTTAGTTGGCCTAAACAGATGCAACCTTTTTAATCAACATCAACATCAATTTCGTCCATAAATTTTGAAGCCACCAACCTGACTATATTCCGATTCAGACAATGGCCGCCTCGTCAATCTCTTTGACACAGGTGAACTGGAATAGGCATCAGATATGCTAGCCACACCCCTTTTCCTCTGATGGGGAGGTGGGTGTGGTGTATTGTTTTGGTCATTTTCTAATTTTCTTCTTTTAGGTGACATGCAGCTTTTAAAATCAGGAAAAGTCTTTTTAAAGGGAGATAATCCATCAGGTAAACACGGAGATTCTGGACATGCTGTTGTATCTTCATTGACCGGTTGTAATTTAGCTTTCATCTACAAAAAAGATAGAGCACATTTTCACTTATATGTCCATGAGCTACATGTATATTGGAGAATTCTGTGACTAATTTCAGCAACAAAAGACATTTGTAGAATTTTGGACTGGAAAGTTGTTGTTGAATTTTTCATATGACATGTAAATGTAGAAATAATAATGTGGAAATAATGTATTTTATTTCTTTGTTTTAAAAAAATCTACACACCTATACAAGCCTACAGGAAATTTGTATAATTTTAAACACCTAAGGTTGTGTTACAACAATACCCCTTTAAAAAACACTAAGAATTAGTATCCCATAGACAAATAACAAGCATTTCAAATATTTTCCCAGAAGTCCAATTTCTCAAAGACAGTTAGAAATGAATATGGATTGACAGGCAGTGTAATTAAGCATAGCCATTAAAAAAAACTCAAGGGGTTACAAACTTGGATGAAAATTGAAAAAAAAATGTCAAGACATTTCTCTATAGTTAACCTTTTTGTCCTCCATCTTTTCTTGTTTTTTCTGTCGCCATAGTGATTTTCCTCTCATTGGTAGTTTGTGGCTGCTCGGTTTTCTCAGAGTTGATCTATTATTACATAATTTTCTACAAAACAGAAAATGTTCACAATAATAACATTATTCATATATCAATACTATTTTGATAATATAACATTTTCTTACTTAACAATGAAATTTATCCATCTGCATGGTCTTATTTTTAAATATTAAAATTTAACTGTCTCCAGTGTATAAATATCATATTACACTTGATGCAGCAGTAAAATCTATATGCGTCTTATTTTAAATGATTTTCTTTTCTGAACTGGAATTCAATATATCTTTTTATGTTATGCATTTCACAGGATCTTCTTTTTTCTTGCCCTGATCTTATAATACACTTCTCACAGTAAGTATAATTAATTGCAGTTTCAAGAGTCGTAACTGTTTGCTGAACATTTTAAAACTATGAGATGTCTAAGAATTCAACATTATTTATATTATATAGTGCTATATGACCCTACGATATCTACTTGTTTGACATTTTGCATATCATGTGATATTTGACCATATGATATCTACTTGTTTGACATTTTGCAGATCATGTGATATTTGACCATATGATATCTACTTGTTTGACATTTTGCAGATCATGTGATATCTGACCATATGATGTCTACCTGTTTGACATTTTGCAGATCATGTGATATTTGACCATACAATACCTTCTTGTTTTACATTTGGTATATCATGGGCTACTTTCTTGTTGAACTTTGTGGAGCATTTGCTACCTTCTTGGACCACTTATGATTATAAATTTGTTTTTATAGACGACACCATGACTCAATCCTTGGTTTGATATTTGGTGGATAATGTGACATCTAACTGTTGGACATATTGTGTATCATGTGATATTCATAAGAAAAGAAACTACCACAAATGTCATCACTATCTGATATAATGTGGATCATGTGATAACCACAGGATTGGTTGATTGGTGTTAAACGCCACTTTCAGCACGGTTGCCTATTTCGTGTCGGCCAGTTTTTATTGGTGGAGGATATCCACGTGATGAATCATGTGATACCTACTTGATAGCAGACTCTAAAGTCTCCACCCACTGCTGGACATTTTGTGGATCATGTGACAGCAACAGTAAACTCTCATCTTTACATGTGATCTAAAATGAAGAAACAATTCAGTCAAACCTGACAGGTCAGAGAAAATATAAGATATAGATTTTATAAAATTTCATTATTTCATTTTCAGGGTTTCCTGACCGCAAAATCAAAATTGCCCCAAATATTTGAGGCAGCCAGAAATTTTCTAATTATAGGTTTTAATTGTAGACATGATGAGCCACCAGGGAAATGATTCGTTGTCAGAGAATAAACAACAGGTCAAACTTTAGTACTTCTGTTTAATATGAATAAACAGACATACTCTTTTGAAGCGTAGAACATTAGTGACTTAATGTTTGTAATTATGTCATTATTGCAAAAAAAACAGAAATTAACCTCCATTTCAAAACAGGTTTCTACTAGAAAATGTTGATTTTTCAATGAAATGATATGGAAAAAATACAAATTTTGAAAATCATTCAACACTTAATTAAACGAAATAAAATTTCATTATCTCTTTAAAGTTCAAAAGACTATGAATAGCTACAAAAGTCCAGAAAATATGAACATTGTGGAAACAGCAAGGAAAATAGTATGTTAAACTTTAGTCATAGCTAAAACTTCAAATCAATTACTTCATATTGCCTATTAATCATTGAATCATTATCAACTGTAACATGTATGAAATATGTTTGTTTAAAGAAATCAATAGCAACTTCAGACTATCTGTTTACAAAAATCATACAATATCAACATTTTAATGCAGATGCCTTTTGTCATTTATTATATCAAATTGTATAAAAAAAACTTTTAATTATATCAAAATGTCAGATCACTAACTTTTAAAATATTCCTGCAATTAGGTAACTGTATTTAAGATACGATTCAGACTTTTTTTCAGAAACTGGACAACTGCTTAAATTGCAAATGAAGACCATGTAAAATTTACTTTCTTAGTTTGGCTGAGGAATAATGATTGTTATAGCTATCCATTATAAAGAAGCTTTTATTGAAATTAATTTTAAGGAAGATGAGTGTCTTATAAATGACAAACAAACATATTAGCAGTTTTTTTTGGTGTACAATTATCTTTCAAAGAAGTTTGAAGTAGTTTTTTTTTTGGTGTACAATTATCTTTTAAAGAAGTTTGAAGTAGTTTTACTCACAGAAAACATGCCTCCTGTTTCTGTCAGGCTAGTGTTACCATTCTTACTATGTCCAAACATTCTCTCTACTTGGCAGTGTTTTAATGGTAGTACACAACAACACGAGTAGGTATTGTTACCACTGTCTAAAAACTTAGCTTTCCCATAAAGCAACATGTCAGAAAACAGGAAAAACATTCTGTCATGTGACTTTCCACCTTTCCTTGAAACCTGTCAATAATTATACAAAGAAATATATTTAGTTATGTAATGTTCTGCAAGTTTCAGTTAATTTATCTTAACCTCAAGACTGTTATTTCTGTAATTATTCCTGATATTAGTTTTATGACCTGGCAGTTGTAAGTGTGGTTGTTAGGGGAAAAGTCTTTCCACAAAGATTTTCTAAACCTTAATTTTGTTTTTAATCACATGAAATTAAGAAAATTGGCAGAGTCATTTTCAGTGAAATTCTATTTGTTGATAAGTGTGGTTGGATATAGAAGGCGAACACTTCCTCTACCTCAGAGTCATAGGTGGAAGTGAAGGAAAAGAGGTGAGACCTTAAAGAGATGTACTTTTTCACTTACAGTTCTACAATCTCTTTTTATGATATTACAATTTAGCCATTTTTATCCTACTATTTCTTTCCTTTAGTACTAATCCAATGGTTTATTTGATGACTTTAAATTTTATTTAACTAAATTATTTCCACTAGTCTGGCATTGTACTACTAATTCTTTCATCTATGAATGAAATACATGTATTGCCATTATATCAAAACACAATGTTACTGTTGACAAATGCTACATTTTGAACACTTGGGCTACATTATAATCGCTTAGTGGCTTGGAAACTCAAAATCATGAGCAGATGTAAATAAAACACCAAACAGTTTGTATCAGTCAACATAATAAAATAGTGATGCCAAACAAAAGACATATTCCATGAAATGCTAAACTATATGTTTATTCATATGCATATGTATTATCAGACCCTCCTTTTATTTACCTTTTTCAGTACTCCTTCCCTGAGAAACTCTCTACCTGGAGCCAGTATTTTAGGTGCTGAGCTGTCAAAACACTTCTGAATACTCAACATTTTCTGGAAGTTCTCATGTTGTTTTATATGTTCATTTATATGACTGGCTATTTCTCCTACCTGGTGAGCTGATTCTGGAAATAGTTTTATATTATATAGTTCATTTTTTTAAATGTGGCATTTGAGATCATTTCAGTTTTAGGAGAAGGTATGTGTTGCTCAGTCTGTGGTTTTTAAAGTGTTTTGTGGTCTGTTGTTTGTCTTTTCATAGTTTTTTTTACGTTTTTTGCCATGCCCCTCAGATGTGAGACGACTACATCTGATTTACATAGAATAAATAAATATTTTATCTTTTCTCTTGTTTTAAAAAGAGCAGTTAGTTTTGATAAAACAGGAATAGTGTCATTATCTCAAATTCTCCAGATGCAGTGACACTTTCAGAAGATGATTTATAGTTACTGTGGATTCATTTTTATTCGTGGTATTCCAATTTTCGTGGGTTTCGTGGGTCACAGCAACCATGAATTTAAGAATTCAAAGAAGAATAATCCCGAGAAATGTGTATGGAGTCGGATGTTTATTTCCGGTTATGTTATGCAGTTTTAGTATAGTGTTGACTAGCAATAAACATTGTAACATTACACATGTTTTTATTGAAATAAGATACAAGTATTTTGATAAAATCAATAATAAATATATCGAATATCAGTGATAATTTACTTTTTAAAATTGATTAAAACTGTTCATGGAAAATAACTGCAAGTTGTTTATTACCGTGTCATAGTTTGGTTTACTGGTGATTAAAAATCAATAGGATTAAGTACGGGGATATTGCCCGTAGGTAATATTGTTTATCACAGGAACATTTATTTTCACACCTTTAACTTATATGACTGTTAATTATATCGTGATTAGGGAAATGAGCTTTCAATCAAAGAGTTTTGAATGCCTTATAAAATTCCAACAAGAATTTATAAATTGCAAAACAAACAAATAATTTGTCTTTGCCCATTATTGTAATAGTTTTCAATGAACACTTTAACCAAGAATGACCAAGCGAGGATTTTGACAATTTAAAACTTTTTCAATGAATTCCTTTTTTTTGTTTGTTTTTTTATTGATCAAACCAAGGAGGTTATATGATTTTCTAAATCAAAAAGAAATCCACAAATTACGTATCTGATTTTTTTTTTGTAATCAGCAATCCACGAGTTTACGTATACCATGAAACGTTTTTTTTCTTTCTCTATCCACGAAAATTGATACCCACGAAAATAAATGCATCCACAGTATGGATTAGGAATGAAATTTTAATTACTGCTATTTTTCTGTCAGCAAATTGATACCTTATCACTGTTTTTGTATGGCAATATGAATCGCTGTACTATCTTGTCTTTTTCTGGTTTAATTGCCAAAACCTGAACTTTTTGCTGATAAACGATAACACTTCTATGTAAATTACCGGTACTAAAAAAATTTAAATGTTCAACATTTAACACACATAATATATGTAATCAATTACAAACAAGATTTTTCATTTTAAAACTACATTTTGTGAATAAGAATGACTTCAACACAAAGATTAATTCATCACACAGTTGTATTAAATCATTTAGATTGTGCATCTTTTAAAAGTATCAGAATGATGAATAATTAATTTCTGAGATAATTTGTACTAAAACTTTGATTTGGGAGGGTTTGTGAATGCGTAATAGTCTTTTTCATTACCCATTATGTTCAGTTATTGGAGTGTAAAGCTAGTTATCTTGTTTTTTACCTTTAATCTGTATATAATCATGATGTTCTTCTGTTGTACACTGTAATAAGTCTTCTAGTAACAGTCTATACCTGAGGAAAATAATTATACAAATAACATAAGACACCTTTCCTCACTTTTTGAGTCATTAATCATTTGATCTTTCCAAAAAATTTGTCATATAGTTTTAGGCAAAAAAAACTTTAAGACTTGCCCAACTAGAATGTAATAGGGTATTTACTTTCATATTTCATTCTTGCAAGCAAGTTTAATAGGTTTATATTTGGGCAAAAATTTTAGAGAAAGATATTATAACAAGAATCTGTTACCAAAGGATAACATGCCAAGCTCGTACTATTTTTCTATGTTCAGTGAATCATGAAATATAGGTCAAACCCCTATTTTGTATATAATAAAAAAATAGATCACATCATAATGAACATTGGAACTAATTTTTCAAGTTAAAGTGACCACAACTTTATGGTCAACTGCATCAACCAAAAACTTTAACTTGAGAATGAATTTATTCACACCATCACATTTACATGTTCACTGAACAGTGCAATCAGGGAAAAAACTGTAATTTGCCATATAAATTTTAAAGTTCATTTCATAATGAACATGTGTACTAAGTATAAAGTTGATCACAAAATTCAAAGCATCTGCAGACTGAAAGCAGGCTTAATTCAGATCCAAAAATCACTCACCTGTTACAACTCACAAGTGTCCAGCAGATGACCAAATATTAAGCCATTCTGGTCAGTAGTACTGAAGAAATGTGTGATGAAAAATATTTAGTTCATTCAACATATATTTAAAGTATCTGCAAACAAATGTCCGACAGATTAAAAAAGTGGTCACACTTCACAACTCATCACAGTCAAGCTGCTGACCAAATATGAAATTGTTCTGTTTAATGGTTCCTGAGAAAAGTATGATAAAAAAATCTGCTGTACAAACAAACAAAATCACAGACAAACCAATGGACAATCTGATTGCAATATAGCCCCCAATTTTAGAGCTGGGTATAATATAGAGATGCATAAGGTTCTAAAACAATAGAACTCATTGATTTGATGCAACTACAAATATACAGTGTGATATCCTAGAATCTTTTTTTCCCCAAAAAATTACAATTAAAATTGATGGTACAGTACACACTTGGACATAGTCTGATTAATCATCAGCATCCCCTATGTCTGACATAGGATGTCAGGCATTTATTGGGGGTAATAAAACATGGACTGATAGGGAAGTGAAATATTGCAACCTGCTGGGCCAATTAACAGGTAGTCATCCAGGTGTGTAATTTTACTGCCACAGATTGACAATTTTTGTTTCATATTTTATACCTGCAAAGGTTCATATTTACCTTTGTTTTACAGGTGAACTTTGGATTGGAATAATCAATAAAACAGGAAATGACAAAATATGTCTTTTGTATAATAATCGAAGATTCCAATAAATTGCACATGTTCAAAAATTATATGACCTAAATCAAAAGTAAATGCAATCTTTATTTAATTATTATTCATTATTATAATAAATGCTCAAAATTATTATCAATTAAATTATATTCATTCAGACTATGTCCCAGCATGTACTGTAAGTTATGGTCATTTTTCAATTTTTTTTTTAATTTTTGGTCGCAGAAAAGATCACCTGGATGCTACTCCTATTAAGATAAGGTACCTTGGTATTCTCTGTACAGGAGTTATCAGTAAAGCATTCAGTTTGAGACCATTTAAATCTGAACGTTCTTCTTGAGTCTGAATGAAATCTTTAAATTCTGTGCTCTTCTGCAACCATTCCTGTTTAAAATATTAATCAATAAAAACATGATATAATATAATTTTTCCTAGTTGATGCGATGTAAGTTAAACATTTATAAATATATGTGTACATTCTTTAAAAACATGATACTCCAAAAGGTCTAAGGACACAGTTGTTGTCCTTTAACTTTCGATGTCTACAAATATAGTCCCTAGTGTAGACAGTGTATAACCTTGCAATTTTTTTTCATACACTTTCCCAAATTATTACTTTATATTTTATGCAGGAAATATTAAGTAGGGGGATCATATTACATGTTAAAACAAATTGGGTGATGAATTTTTAAGTCAAGTAGTGATTTGGTCTAGATTAAAAAAGTCAAAAGTAGTACACTACACAGTAAATCTTTTTGAGATAGAGCAGGTACGATTTATTTAATTAGGATTTATTGTCTAAAAGAAATGCACTAAAAAATATCTGTGTTCTCAGTCCAAAACAAGCTAGAGAACTGTAATAGCAAGATGTTTAAATAAATTGTTTAGAATGTGAAATATTTCTGGCAATTTAATCTTTATAATAGGCCAGCTTATAATTGCCTGGGTCCCTAACCCTTAACTCAATTAAGGTTGCCAAGACAGTCCAAGGCCTGCCTATAATAGCCTCATCTTTGACCTTTATCAAGTTAGCCTAAGAGGAACATTAAGGGCATATCTATAAATTAAGTTGTTTGGATAACAGTCAGGGATATAACTCTATAGGTTTATTACAGAAAATAACTTGCATGTGTTATTACAGATACTTTTATGAGTTGTCTACTCTTTAATCCTTAAATTTACTAAATCTGTAATAACATATGATTGTTATTTGTAAATAAATCATAAATAGTTTTATTTTTAGTGGGCTCTAGGGAACTCTTGAAACTTTGTGCAGAAACTAAATGCATAGCCTTGATAACTAACTATTAATTTAGATTAATACATTTTTCATTAACCATGGTAAATCAATGAGACAAGGCTTTTAAGTGATTAACTTAGCTGTAATAACAAGGCTTAGTTATTAAAGGCATGTAACTTATTAAATGAGACACTTGGGAATTACTGGGAAGCTTGCGCAGAACCTCATTACATGCTCTGATCATTACTTCTTACAATAAATTAAAATACATTGTAATTGAGCATGATCTATGTCTGAGCAAATGCTTTGAAGTGATGTAGAGAAGCTATAATAACACCCTTTAGTTATTACAGGCATATTTGTTCTGTAATAACATAGGTGTGATATGCATGATTGGCAAACTATGGACTGTTATATCTTTCTATAGTTAAGTATACATAAAGACAGTAGCAATATCAATAGAACTTGTATACATTTTAACAAAACTAATGATGTATATTGTCCCTTTGAAACATGTAACATACATATGTTATCACAGTTCTTTGATTTTTTTGTCCACAATAACAAGCATATGTTATTTTTCTCTAATAACCCTATAGAGTTATATCCTTGACTGGATAATGTTCTGGTTCTCTTACTTGTAAAGCTGCCAGGACACTAAAGGTATGATTCATATATTTTCTGGTTCTCTTACTTGTAAAGCTGCCAGGGCACTAAAGGTATGATCCATATATTTTCTGGTTCTCTTACTTGTAAAGCTGCCAGGGCACTAAAGGTATGATCCATATATTTTCTGGTTCTCTTACTTGTAAAGCTGCCAGGGCACTAATGATATGATCCATATATTTTCCTGTTTCTCTTACCTGTAAAGCTGTCAGGGCACTAATGGTATGATCCATATATTTTCCTGGTTCTCTTACCTGTAAAGCTGCCAGGGCAGTTTCATGGTTGTTAGCATATGATGAGTATAACTTTAGAAATGGTCCTAGATAGTGGAAGGCCTGGCCTATAGTGGTTTGTTCCATATACTCTTGAAGTGTCTTGTTGACCTCCCATATCTGTTCTATATTACCAAAGATCTTACTGTGGATGCTGTCTGGGATTAAACAGTTAAACCTCAGTGGAAAATCAAAATACTGAAATAGAAAAAAAACTTTGTGGAAAATCAATATATTAAAAACATGGAAAAGGGAAAGAGACATAAGCAGAAAATCCAAATACCCTGTTTTAACAATGGACAAGTCAATTAGTTTTGAATTATTTTTCTTGACACTCATCCCCCTCCTTTTAATCTTGATCACTGAAATAACAAAGCTACATAGATATTTATACCATAGAAATCAGCTCGGAATAAGCACTTAAATCTATAACATCAAAATAATAGACAATATATCACAGGTAAAAGCAAAACAATACAATAAATAATACTTTATCAAAGATTGCTCCAATTTACTTAAAGCAGACTCAAAGTATCTATAAAACTGCTGATTTATAAATCATCCTGTCCTACAATCTTATATCAGCAGCTATACTACAGAGAAGATTTCTTACATCACTGTCATGAACAGGAAAAGATGACACAAGTTATGCAATGCCCGAAGTAATTTTGTACTTGTGGAGTATAATGAAATTTCTTGTAAATCTTACAGAAATATGCTTCAGACGACTATGATACCCATTAAGTGTTTAACATGCTCTTTGTTTTTGTTTAACATGTGCTTTTAATACATTTAATGGAAATAACACTTAATATGTTTTGTGTGTCAGTAGCGGTTTTCTGGATTAGTTGTCATAAGCAACGCTAAAACCTAATCATTTGAAAACCAGGGATGTTTAATTACATCGGAGTTGTATGACCAAAAGATACCTACATTGTAAAAAGGATAACCAAATTAACCTACTTTTATGTTCTTTTTAAGCTTCCTGAACTTTTAAAATCTCAACAGAATACAGAAAACACTATCTCACAGTACATCTAATAATACTATTATCATATAATAATATTAACTTTTTACCTTGTTCACTAATTCTAGATGATTCAGATATGTCTTTTCTGTTTCAAACAATTCTCTAATCACTTTCTTTCTCCTTTTCTCTCTTTTTTCTTCTGTGACTGTATCAATCTGTTCCTTGTTCTGTTGGGCTATTTCATTCAACACTGTTACAAAATAATCAAAGTAGAGGACTATGCAAGTAATTGTTTTACATTTGTTATTTCAGACCTTTTATAGCTTGATCTGCGGTATGGGTTTTGCTCATTGTTGAAGGCAGTACTTTGACCTATAGTTGCTTACTTCTACATCATTTGGTCTCTAGTGAAGAGTTGTCTCATTGGCAATCATACCATGTATCTTTTTGTTTTTGTAAGTAATTAAATGTCAATTCAACAATATCTCAACAGTTTGTCACTAACAATGACAATACAACATAGGTTTATCTCAATCAATCATCATGATCATAATAGAATCTGTATAATTAAATAAATGACAAAAACATACTTTTTAGCAGTTGGGAAAAAGACATACAACAAAAATTCATGTATACAACGTTTTCAAAGTGCTGTTCTTTCAGGTGAGTCAACTGTCAAACTTCATTGCATTGACCTTGATTATGAGTTAAATTTTGATACTCATATCAGTAAAATATGCAGGAAGGTATCTCTGCAACTTAATATTTTGAAACATTTGGGAACTTATTTGAACAAACTAAGTAAGCTAGATATATTCCATACATTTATTTTGAGCAATTTCAATTTCTGCCCTTTGGCATGGCATTTCTGTACTGAGAAAAATCAAATAAATAGAAAAAGTGCAAGAAAGAGCACTAAGGTTTTTGTATGAAGATCATTCAAGCTCATACCAACAGTTGCTGAAAAAGGCTAAAATGCTGTCACTGCATATTAAAGGCAAAGATCAATGGTAATTGAAAATTTTAACATGTGTAGTTCATAAGATAGCACCTGTCTGTTTACATGATCTATAAATTCTAAAAGATTGTAACTATTCTTTCAGATATAGTAATATATACTGGATATTCCACATGTAAAATCAACACAGTTTGGTAAGAAAAGTTTTAGATTTGCAGTTGCTACTCTGTGGACATGGTGGAACAGCCTACCTGACCATTTCAGGACTGAAAATAGTTTATCACAATTCAAAAGCCTTATACAGTAATGGAATGGATCGGAATGCCGTTGTTCTGCATGTAGATAAGCTTTTCATGTATTATTTTTTAGTTATAGCTCTAAATGCTTTGCATTTGTGCTTTATATATGCTGCTTATATATTGCTCTCTGTTTTAATATTATGTAATTATGTAAATGTTATTTATATTCAGTAAAAAGCTCTCAAGAGCTTATGTTTGTATTGTCATATGTGAACCGAATTAAAATAAAACTTTCGTATATCTAGATCCAGAATTTTGATAATAACCATTAGCAGTGATTAGTGCAGTCTGTTTTATACAATATATATCTAAAATTTTACATTTTTAACTTCAATATAGATACCTTAAAGGGTGTACATGTCCTGTCATTTTCTTTATGTTTGTATTTAGAAAATTTATTCTTTTCTCTAATTATATACATATATAAAGACATATCATTATATGGAACTTGACTATGCTAAAATCTATATAAATTCTACATTGTACTTCCTGAGTGCCAGGTGCACTTTGTCACTGTAATAATAAAACATATGCAATTTCAGGATTTCAGTCAGGGGTACTACTTGTACAAGTAATCTTTATTTACTTGAAGAAGTAAATAAAATATACTTATATAAGTTAATCATAATGTTTGAATAATCTCCCCTTGTATAAGTAACAAAATCTGAATGTCTAAGAGACGTAATTAGGCCAAAAAATAATTTACCTATACAAGTAAATAAAATACACTTGTATAAGTATCCTACAAATTTACTTATATAAGTATATTAATATTTACTTCTTCAAGTAAATAAAAATTACTTGTACAAGTAGTACCCCTGACTGGATTTAGCATAAAAATAGGCAACCTGAGCACTGTCCATGGTCCACCAGTTTCAGACTCATGATAAATCACAAGTGCATTTATACATGTAGGAGGAAAAAAAGGATTTTTTTACCAATTTCCATAGAAACAGTTTACCTTTGAATCTACTCCTTGTTGTCAACATTGTTCAGATCCCAGGCATCACCAGCTAACCTACAAAGTGAAATACAAAATGTCAAAAAAATATTCTCTGATCCAGGATGATCCCAGACTATTTATCGGGTCGTTAGTTTTCACGTTTGATTTGTTTTACATTTGTCATTTCAGGGCCTTTTAAAGCTAACTATTCGGTATGGATTTCGCTCATTGTTGAAGGCTGTATGGTGACCTATAGTTGTTAACTTCTATGTCATTTGATGTCTAGTGGCGAGTTGTCTCATTGGCAATCATACCACATCTTCTTATTTTTATTTATATATAGCTATAGGCAGTCTGCTTTTATATGTCATTCAATGTTTAAATGCCCAGACTACATCATGTACCACATCTTCTTATTTTTATTTATATATAGCTATAGGCAGTCTGTTTTTATATGTCATTCAATGTTTAAATGCCCAGACTACATCATGTACATACAAGTTAGACTTAACCTATTTCTTATTAACAAAATATCAAATAAAAGAAGAAAAATGTTTCAAGACCTAGTTCATGTTTTCTTATTGTATTAAACAATGTTAAATGTTCTATTTTTTAGTTTAAGTAAAAACAAACAGTTCAACACCACAGCAAACTGTATTTATTAGCCCAAAATTGGACTTGATGAATCTTTACCCTCAGACTTCCTTTGTACAAGAAGTTAAAGATATATATATGCAAAAGAATGGATACACTACAGAGCAATTTCCTTAAGACAGCATTAAATCAAGGGATAAATAACAAAATATCAGAAACCTGGAGTGCCCAAAAAAATAGAAATCCTTCAGTGTTAGGTTCATATAAAGTTATAAAAAGAGTCCAAAAAGAAAATGAAAAGCAATTACTTATGTTTCCTGACTTGAGACAGACACACAAATTGTGTGCTGGAGTTTTAGCTTACAAAGTTACATGTATATGAATTGCTTTGTTAACAAGCCCTTATTTTTAATAACTTTTCAATTTTTTACTGCTGCAAACATGCTGTCAGGTGACCCATAGAGCCGCTTGCAACATGAGCTGCTGATGTTTTTTTGTGAAACAGGATTGCTAGAAATGTGAAATTTTGGTTGTTACATGGCTTTATCATGTTTATTCAGCTGTGCATCATGCTTTGCTTTATTTGTTTAGTAAGGATACGTTTTAGTTTTATTTAGGTATGCTTCAGCTTTGGCATATTTAGATGTGTAGTTTAGTAATGCTTTGCATGTATTTCAATATGCTTGTGCATTTGAAATAATTTGCTGCTTATATATATTATATCTTATCTGCATGTCCTGTGTTTTAATGTTATGTATATGTTATTTATATTCGGTAAAAAGCTCTCAAGAGCTTATGTTTGTATTGTTATGTGTGAACTGAATCAAAATAAAACTTTCGTATTCATTTCTATATTCGGTAAAAAGCTCATCACTGACATCAGAGCTTATGTTTGTATATGATATGTTTGATAAGTTTTATTTGTTTGCCGGGTGGGGAATTGAAATGTTGCTTCCCTTGATCCAGTAGTGATTTAACTTCCTTTAATTTATAACATTGCTATTGGAAGTTCAGTTTGTAGAGGGTGGGCCAGCTTTCTGTAAGAAGTACTGGGTATGCCAGTTCAAAAAGACAAAATTGAATATTCCAGTTGGTATTTTTTGTTTTTGGATGTTTGGGAAGGGACATCTATCTAATGTCAGATATTTTTTTCTTTTTAAATATTTGTACATTTGTAATTCGATATAGTTATTGACATATAAATAGAAAAGTAAATAAAATAGTAAGTAAAATTTACGAACAAATCAAAATCTTTGACAGGTGTTTGAATTTTCCGCCCCTTGTCAACCGGAAGTGCTTGGCCAATTAGTCTTTAAACAATTTATTATTATATTTTCCTCATTAAGCCATTCTTGCATTTAAAAAAAATATTTTAAAATTTAAATAATGCATCAGTCTGCCTGAAAAAATAATCAAATTTAATCTAACAAAAATAATTTTGCGTTTGAGATTTTGTAATCAAAAGTCGAAGACGGGAAATACGAGATATTCCGGAAAGAAAAATGCCATGGCTTGAAAGAAAACCATTCATTTAACGTTGTTTGAATGTACATATTTTTACTAGTTACTTAAGAGAATTACAAAAAAAATGTTCCTTATAATTATCGATTCTATTAGATGTGTCACACAGCAAAAGATTACAATGGGCCAAATATTTGCTTCGCTGTCTTGGTACATTTTATTGTCCAATAATTTATGATTTCTGTCAATTTCCACTCTTTGCAGTCACATTTGTCCGTTGCACTACATTACTATCACAAAATGATGTAAAGAAAGACTACCCATACAAGGTTACATATTCCTTCACCTGGATTTTGCGCTCTGGTTGTCTTGAAAAATAGGAGAGGAGTCTTTGTACCACCTAGGTCCTCAGCAGGTCTGCGGGACAAGGCCCTAGTATGGGAGCTCTCAGAGTTTGACCGACCAGGGTTAATTTGCTTGCATTTTTCTATGCTTGATTAATTTTTTTTTACACATGCAACAATTTTATTTGTATTAAATGTTATTGTTAAACATGTTAAATGTATCTGTTTTTGAATCAAAAATATTTTTTTTTGGAAAAATCAGTTTTAACTGATTAGTCTCCAGCGGTTTGGTTTCATTTATAGATTGGTATTTAATTACAATAAATGTTAATGACTATTGATTGATATACAATGCCAATTAGGTATCATTATTATATGTGTTTTGATTGTTATAATAACCACATGATAACTAGCTATATCATTAATCAGTGTTTTAATTTTAAAAGTAAAAACTTCGTGAAGTAAATGCAGGTTCATTATCATTATGGAATCACCATATTCAATCATAAAGTATGGTAGAGTTCGTGTGCATGTAATATGACAGCAAGGTCCAACCTCAAGAACAAGCAGTATATTGTAATTTGAGTGACAATTTACGTTGTTAACATGGTTAATGTAATTGTAAATTATGTACTCAAACTTATGATTACATATTCAGAACTACTCTTTTAAGCTTTCTTTTAACAACTTCACAAAAAAACTTGAATTTTGATTTTCCACCAAAAATTCAATAAAACAGGTTAATTTTCATAGATTTTTAGGACTGGAATCAAAGAGCAGATTCATAGACAAAAAAGATCTTTTAACATAATGTTTGTAATGACAAATTATATATCTGACTTGACTAATCAGTTTGTTGAAGCCTGCAATCTATTCCAACACTTTGTCCAACTCCGAGGCCTAAATTATGTTAAAATCCAAATGACTTTGTCAAATTTCACCAAATCTCTACCTTTTGCCTATTTTGGTTGGAAATGTTAACACATTATAAGAAAAACTGTACAAAATTAGTTCAACTTCACACACCCCTGCCCCAATTTTTGCACCTGTTCCAAGTCAGGAACCTCTAGCAATAAAGTCAAGTATTACCCTTGTCCGTCTGTACTTCGGTACGTACATAAGTCCGTAAATATGTCCCAAAATTAGTTTCTGTTCTCTAACTTTAGTTTGCCTCAACCAAATATTATGAAACTTATACACAATGCTTATTACCACAAACACAGATCAAGTTTGAATTTGGGTAGCGTCACTTTTACCGTCCTAGAGTTATGCCACTTTACAAATAAAAAAATTGCTGAATTTTTTCGTTTCCGTTCTCTAACTTAAGTTTACCTCAACCAAATGTTATGAAACTTGTATGCAATGCTTATTACCACAAAACTCAGATCAAGTTTGAATTTGGGTGCCGTCACTTATACCGTTCTTGAGTTATGTCCCTTTATAACATTATATGCAATAGGGGGCATTCTCTGTGTTCCATGGACACATTCTTCATTTATTTTAATATTGGTTCATTTTTATGTTTGGGAGTTAAGTGTGGCATCCATTTTGCTGAACTAGTATACATTATTGTTAAGGGGCCAGCTGAAGCATGCCTCCGGATGCAGGATTTTCTTGCTGTGTTGAAGACCCATTGTGGCCTTGGGTGGTTTTGTGCTCTTTGGTCGGTTTGTTGTCTGTTTGAAACATTCCTTGTTTCCATTCTGTATTCTATTACTCCTTTTTAATGGCTGATAATGACAGATGTTGTTTGGAAAGATTGGAACTATTGATCCAAGTCTTTCCTAAGGCACCGCCCTCCCAAACAAGAAGTAGCACAGGTTAGCTACTAACTCTACAAAATGTATACACATTGAAATATAGTTCCCTATAATTCTCATGTCTGTTTGTACATATGCACAGGTGATTTGTGAAAAATTTGGGTTATATCATAGGAGCATTTCATGCCTTAATTTGCAGGCTAGTTTTGTCATTTAAATTAGGTAGGAGTAATGATACAATACCAGTATGATTGACAAATGCAATGATCATTAAACAATCAGAGACATTGTTGGGCTTAATTTGAATGTCCCACCTCCTTAAATGTCAATCATAATGACCAGATAACTAATCAATCTCAGTCTTACATAATTAAAAAGACCCTTCATTATACATCTCAATACACAAATACTTGACCTCATTATTGAATACACAGAAGTATATATATATAAGATTTAATGATAGATTTATTCATTGCCTATTACTTTTGATCTACACAACATAAAATGATTCTATAAATGATGTCTGAAAGATAAATGATTAAGGATTAAGAAGATTTTTTTTTCAAAAGAAAACACAAAATATTAAATATAAATATAAAAAAGGTATTCAAGTAAGGTCTATATTTTACTTGATAAATCTGTGAAATAATCATCTGTAATTAATCAATAATTAAGGTTACAATTATCAGTGATTGGCTTGAAACAGTAAGTTAAATATCAAAACTATATTTTTTTAGTTTATTCCCCATCAAATTTCTTTTAGCAATACTAGTCATTTGAATACAGGAAGTGTATTTTTGCAATGAAGAATGAATCCCCATTTTTATTTGTTTATGTTGAAAAGTACATTTTCAATGCCCTTTTCTAGAAAATATGAAATTATAAATTTTTTATTAATACACCTTACAATCAGAGCTCCAGATAAGCTGCGTATTTGCGTAATCACGCAATAAAAATAATTAAAAACCCAATGCAATTGCCAATTGCAGGGTTCAATAACCCAATTAATTCAAAGGAAAACCCAATTATATGCCAAAAACATGGGTTCTTAACGCTTTTATTCGCTATCGTTTGCGTTATTTACCCTTACTTGATTACAGTCGTCGCGTAAATCTATTTTTATAATATTTATAATTGGAAATGTCCTTTCGTTCTAAAAATAGAGCCCTGCATCAAGTAGCTGTAATGGGTCCCTGTTGGAATTTTCCGTTGCTCAAAAGGTACACGTGTTTATGAAAACATTTCGATCTTCTCGGCGTTTATCCAATTAGCGTGTGACATGCTGTCATATTTTTTCGAATTGCTCGGGCATTATCATAACATACAATGAATTAAAACGAAAGTAAATGTCCGGTAAAAATATTGAATAGAAGCATGTTTTCGGCTTCTTTTTGATAGCTGAGGGAAAGTTATGATGATAACAAGACTCAGCTAGTGATTTTAGGAAGCGGCAATTGAACGCACGGGCGTGTTTGCGTACCATAACGAGAACATTGCTAGAGCGATAAACACGGGGTTCCGTCAAAAAAGAAATCAGTTGGAAAAAGTGAAAGGCCAAATCAATTATGACATGATATGTAGTTTGAAAGCATCGGAAACCACAAGTTCTGATAAGGGACAACTTAACTCAGATTTATGTAAATTGAATTAAACGAAAACAGTTTATATATTATTTTTTTCATTTTAGTTGATGAGTGAATACACATATCCGTTTTTACGTCAATGCAGCTTGACACTTTCTTTGTTTTTGGTCTTATTGTTCTAGATGCTTAAGATAGTTGTCTTATTGGCAAGTGCAGTATAACATTGTCATTTATTTACTTGATGTTGCAGAATTATTTGTAAATTTAAGTTGAATGTGGTCTCCCGTCATTATATAAACCACCCTATAAACCTCAAGGTTTTGGGGGTATATCTTAAATCTGGAAACTACTTTTCATTTTTATTAAAAAGTAGATCTGGCAAAAAGGTGAAAGGACTGGCAAAACTTTCTTACAGCACCTAAATTTCGCATATATTACACAAAAATCTAAACACTTAGTCACACCTACCCCAACTATAATTAAACTGTAGGGTGATCATATGGGATCTAGAAAGGCAATTAGTTCCTGTCCAACTAGTGACACCAGCTGCAGTTTACATAAGTTTTGAGAAAATACAAAACTGACAGAACGTTTAAAACGGTACACAAATTAAATGTACAATTGCTCGTCAGTGAATAAACCAAATAAAACAGCTAGCACATATTCTACAAAGAAAGAAACACATTTAAGATGGAAACCTATCTGGGGTTGATATAATGTGATTATAACATGCCTAAATATTCAATATTGTGTTGATGAAAAACCCAATACATTAAGGAGCTTGGTGGTGAAAAACCCAATTTGATATTTGCTTGAGGGGTGAATTGGAATTGATAATGCAATTAAAAAACTTTATCACCCAATTATATAAAAAAATGGTGGGTAAAAACCCCAATTTGTGAATTCTTATCTGGAGCTCTGCTTACAACATTAAATCTTCAGTGTCATATAGTCATGAACGTCATTTTCAAAATAAATAAGCAATTCTTAGAGGAAAATAATAGTACACCTTTGTTTCAACTTACAAAATGCCCCAAAACAACCTTTTTATATAATTTTGAGAGACGATAAAGATTTTCTGTTGGTTCCATGTCCTACAAGGATAATTGATAAACTTTATGAGAAGAATCTTTATTTGGTAATTCTGTGTCTAAAGATAAAACGTAAAAGTTGAAACATTTAACAAAGGAACATTATTTGGTTAAGATATGAAATTGCAATTTAAACAAAATTGTTGTGAAAATTAAGGGACCCACTATTATTTATTCACAGTTAGGTCATTTTATCTACTGAAAAAGTGCTTATCATTCTTTAGACCTGCAGTTAATGAAAATGTCGGCAAAAGTGCTTTATTAATGTTCTTTTTTGTCCACACCATATCTACATATAGTTTGAAATTATTCAAACTACTCTTCCAATCTTTCCATGAGTAATTTCCATCACTTTGATTAAAACATCCCGATACATGTAGAGAATAATTTATGAATATCATCAATATAAAATTGATTCGGTCAAAGTTCAATTTTCCATGGTATAATCATTATATTTTTCGCTAGTTACTATTTATCAGTACAGAGATATTTAAATCACAGCAGTATTATATTTTTTAAGGAGAAATATAATTTATGCTTGTATGATATTGCTATGAATTTCAGATCAAATGGGCTGAGAATGAAAGAACTGGTCTTTAAAGAATTGTACAAGATGTAGCCATGAGGGTGTTAAAGAGTATTTACTACGACTCGCTGGGCATTGATGGTAAGTAAGAGCTCGTTATAAAGACTCTAGAAATGTTTTTATAAATGGTTTATTCTAATTAAGTCTATATCTTAACTTTTCTCTTTTAATCAAACATGTATTTATTATGCAATTGATCAGAACTATTTAGTCTATACATCCATTAGTACCAAATATACTGATGTTATTGTCTAAATGTTTGTGTTGTTTCTATAATTAACAACAATATTGTGTGGTAAATTATGAAAATATTTATTAGATTTATTTGCCTACTATAACTTATAATAGATATGATTTGTTTGGTATTAAAATGCTCAAAATGTCAAGACCTACTTTCCATTGTCAGAAAAATGATCAGACTCCTGATAGAAGTTCAAGATTGCTTTTTTATAAATTTTGTACTTCCCTAGCTCTATCACTTACGACAGGTTAAGTATCTACTACGCAAGAGAAGCAATCCCGTCACACTTCCCCATCTCAAAGAGTCATTAACATATGACTCTTCAAAATACAAACGCTGGCTAGATATCGTCTCTTAATCACTATGGGTATTTTAGTCGGGCACCAAATGTAACCAGAGAGCATGATTCATATAAAGTGTGATTTAAATTGGCAGAGTACTATGTAGCTAGCTAGAGAAAAAAAATGAAATTATTCCATGTTTGCCATTCATTCAACATTAAATGTGAATTGGTCGTTTCAGAATCTAAAGGGCTATGGGTAATTCTATTGTTAGTTCCCCATAATGAAAATAACGTCACATAAGATATGCTTGTCCCAGCACAATAGATTCAAACATTACAGAAAAAAATCAGAAATTTTATGAACTGAGCTACTGTTGGAGGCCTCAATCTATTGATTAGATACTTCATATATTCTGAGGGGGATAATGATAAAATAGAAATTCCAAACTTCCGCAGATTCATTTATTTTCTTGGGTACAGACATTTGTGGATTGAGGAATAAATATATTTTCGTGGATATTTGATTTCATGGTTTTGTCAAAGTTTTTATACAAATTACAAGCCTATAGACAATTTGTACTTTGTTGAACATTTATATTCGTGGTTCACCTGTACCCACGAAACCAACAAAAATTGGTATCCCACGAATACTAATGAATCCACAGTATGTCATGTAACACCGTATTCTCTGAATGAAACAGAACACCTTTCTAATGTTCCATCCAATGTACAAAGTATTGCATGTGACCAACCTTCAGAATGCTTGTTCAATTTAATTAGAATTATAGCTCTCATTATGTTCTTAGATTTTAGGATTATTTTTTAACCCTTTGCATACACAACCTTTGATGGTCAGAATGAATTAGGCATGCACTTCATAGAAATATTATTTTAAATTAATTGTACAAACTGTCTGCATGTACACCTACTTTTTGGTCATTCTACAATGTGCTATCTAATGATATATGATACCAGGCTTGAACTTTTGTGGATAGTTGTCTCATTGGCAATTATACCTCATGTCCTTATTTTTATATAGAATAATTCTTCATACTAAGACTTGTTCAAGATTTGCAGACCTTCTAAGAGTAAACAGTCTAAAACTGTTAAAAATTCCACACTTTGGTGCATTTATCTTGTCATATCTCTTGTTTGCTTTATATTTGATCTTTTGAGATGTGTTCACAATATTTGGATCTTTTAAGATACAGTCCATTCAGATTTTTTTGATTTATTTATTAGTTGTTCTAGAGTTATGGGACTTGAATTGTTAAAATTTTGCTTGGACTTTTAGGTACATGACCTGTTCTAGAAAATTCATGTTTGTTCCAATTTGGATCTTTATAAAGGAAAAGGTGTGATAAAGCCACTTTTTTGGCCCATTGAATTCGGAAATCAAAAAGTATTTTAAAACTAACAAATAACATGCATCATATGTTCATAAGACATTTATCTGCCAGACACCAGTATTTATGTTTTTGGATATTGTCTTACATGTTGGCATAATGGCTTTAATTTTTTTTTACATTTAGTGCAAAACAACAAAAACTGCCAAAAAAGACTCATTTGGAGATCTTGTCATTAAAATTTAGATATTATCAACAGCTTTACCCCAAAAGATATTTTGCAACAATATATATTATATTTTAAGATGTATACGTGTTTGTAAAAACATTATTTTGGATAAAGCTGTTGCTAATATATTTTATGACCAAAAACTATGCTTAAACTGCCATTTCAGGTTAATTTAGACATGTTTATGATGTCATAGTGACATCACAAGTATCTTTTCTATACTTAGGTGTCTAGATTTATATTACCTGTAACCTGTGCATTTATTGGTAACAATAATTTTGAAAGGGTTGAATAAGTTTGCTATTTTTACACTTACAGGGGATATAGATAATGGCTCTTATCATGCCTCCTCCTTTTGTACTTTTAGAAATGTTCAGTTCTATACGAACAAATTTTCTTTCAATTTTTTGGATTTTTTAATTGTCATTCCTCATGATCAGTAGTCCGAATACTGATAACATTAGCTGTATTTAGGTTGTTGGCTTTAGACCACAATTAATTGCCATTGTTCGTGAATATAGATCCCAAGTATTATATGGGGTATTTCTTCCTTATTTTTCTTTACACTATTTTCTTATGTGGTCCTATAAGCTGCATATATATATATATACTGAAATAAGTAAAAAATGAGAGAAAAATTATTGTTGAAAGTGAAAGCATCGACTTAGCCAAAGTGAAAGTAGGGCAGAAATTAGCCTTCAGCATTTATTCAAAACTCACCCTTGGCATGTTTTCAGGCCATTCAAGAGAGAAATCAGCAATGGATTGTGCTGGGACAAGCATATTTTATTAGAATAATAATGGTCTATGAACAGTAGATTTTATTTCATGTTTGAACAGATGTACATTTTTAAATTCAATTTGACTTTTAAAAAGAAAAACATTATGACCGATGGTAAAAGTAATTGTGGTCTGAGGCCTGTTCTAAATAGCTGTTTTTACACATTTATATTTATTGAGTTATCTCCTTTTGGATACTGACAGAAATTTGTATGCAGTTGAAAAGTTGTAATAGTAATTATATTAAAACATTTAGCTGACAATTATTTGATAATTATAGTATTAAATGATAACAGAATGGCAGAAATAACCTTTAAACAATAACTAACTATAACTGACCAGAAAAAAATTCCACAGTTGTTAAAACTTTTGGCATCACATAGTATTTAATTATTTGAATATCCGCCATGAAGTGGTAATGATGAAGATAGAAATAGAATAGTTATTCATTTGTTAACAAACTTAATTGAAAACTAGCAAAAAATTCCACTCTCAGAAATGATATTGAGCATTAGAATGTTGAAAATAAATTAGTTAATATAGTTTTAGTAATAATTCTGTAATTAAATATTGAAGTTTGACAATTGTTTCCCAGCTGTACAAATAATTGTTGTAATAAGAAGACTATTATTGTGAGGCATTATTTCAGATCAATTGCTCCATAACTTTGAAGTTATCTTAGCTTTTTCTAGAAAAATTACTTTTAGTTGAAGGGCTAAATTCATTTGATAAACATATTGTGATAGCAGAATTGTTAATCATCCAGTTCAATTGGGGACAAATATTTAGAGAATGCCCCACTGTTTTCCATAGTCTGATAGGAAAAACATGTTAGGAGAATGCAACACTATTTGTTCCCAGTTTAATAAAGTATTTGGAGAATGCCACACTATTTTTCCCTAGTCTAATAATGTATTTTGGAAATGCCACACTATTTTTTCCTAGTCTAAAAATGTATTTGGAGAATGCCACACTAGTTATTTTCAGCTTGATTATATTAAATGAACACAACATTATTTGTCCCCAGTCTGATCATGTATAAGGAAAATACAAAACAAATTTTCCCTTTCTGATGGGGGACACATGTTAAAAGAATACCAGTTTAACTATCCCCATCTAATTATACATATAGAGAATGTCACACATTTTGTTCCCAGTCTGATTTGGGACACATGCACAAAGAATGCCACACTTTTTGTTCCCAGTCTGATTTGGGACACATGTACAGAGAATGTCACACTTTTTGTTCCCAGTCTGATTTTGGACACATGTACAGAGTATGCCACACTATTTGTTGCCAGTCTGATTTGGGACACATGCAAAAAGAATGCCATACTTTTTGTTCCCAGTCTGATTAGGAGAATGCTGCAATATTTGTCCCCAGTCTAATTACAAAAATGCAACTCAATTAGTCCCCGGTCTGATTATGTATTAGGAGAATGCCACACTATGTGTCCGCAGTCTGATTAGGAGAATGTCACACTATTTGTCCCCAGTCTGACTAGGAGAATGCCACACTATTTGTACCAATCTGATTATGTATTATGAGGTTGCCAAACTTTTTGTCCCAGTCTGATATTGTATTAGGAGAATATCACACTATTTATCCATAGTCTGATTATGTATTAGGAGTCTGATTATGTATAAGAATGCCACAATATTTGTCAATAGTCTAATTTTGTATTAGGAGAATGCCACACTTGTATTATAAGGACCACATATAAGGAAAAAGCCACACTTTTGTCCCCAGTATTATAAGGACCACATGTTAGGAGAAAGCCACACTATTGATCCCCAGTATTATAAGGAACACATGTTAGGAAAAAAGCCACACTATTGATCCCCAGTATTATAAGGAACACATGTTAGGAGAAAGCCACACTATTGATCCCCAGTACTATAAGGAACACATGTTAGGAGAAAGCCACACTATTGATCCCCAGCACTATAAGGAATACATGTTAGGAGAAAGCCACACTATTGAACCCCAGTATTATAAGGAACACATGTTAGGAGAAAGCCACACTATTGATCCCCAGTATTATAAGGAACACATGTTAGGAGAAAGCCACACTATGACATCCCCAGTATTATAAGGAACATATGTTAGGAGAAAGCCACACTATTAACAACCCCCAGTATTATAAGGAACACATGTTAGGAGAAAGCCACACTATAACATCCCCAGTATTATTAGGTACA